AAAGTTTAATTGTAATAAAATGGTTATAATAATAGTAATATAACTAGAGTAATAAAGTTTGAACAGTTGAGATTAGGACAACATGAGACAATAAAAACAAAGAGATACAGACGTCCGGGTACCTTTTCCTGGCCAACACAAACCCAAAAAAGGACACCCATTAACAGAGGATTAACCCTTAAAAGCAATCACCTGTTGCATCTTCATACACCTCATACATGATGCATAAATTCCATTCAAACACAGGATTCTGTCTGTTCATCACCAACCTCTCCTCTTAATCCTCAGCATCTTCAGGGCTGAAGAGTCGGGAAGAAGTTCGTTTCTCCTGATAAAATAGCAATAAATTCTCTTTCTCTGAAAGATTCAGGTGTCCTGCAGCCGCCATCCAGTGGGAGCACCTCATTCCTTTCTAAAAAGAAATCATTCCACATACATAGCTCCTATTTTAACTACACAAGTTACCTTTTAACTATGAAACAACATTTACCATACTGGGAGCTGAGCCGCCCGGCGGGGACACGCCCGGACTGTGAAAAATGTGTATTTTATGATTGGCTTCTCGCAAGTATTACAATAAATATTGTATTATGCTAGAAAGTTATGCTATATTAATTTTCCTAAGTGTAGTAATTTTTTATTTTATTTAATTTTTAAATTTTTATTTATTATTTTTCTTTTTTATTTATTAATTTTATTTATTATTTATTTATTACTTTTTGTTCCTTTATTATTTTTTATTTTATTTATTATTTACTCAAGTGTATTAAATACAATTTCAGGTTATAACACAATGTTAAAATGGAAACTATGCTATGTAAGATATTTGTTTAAGAAAGGACTCGCAGCAGATAGCAGCCACAGGACACCTCGCTCAGACAGGAAGACGGCGTCAGGATTAAGAGGAAGAAGGTGGCAGTGACCAGACAGAATCCTGTGTTTGACTGGAATTTATGCATCGTGTGTGAGGTGTATGAATATGCAACAGGCTGTTGTTTTTAAGGGTTAATCCTCTGTTAACGGGGGTCCTTTTTCGGGCTTGTGTTGGCCAGAAAGAGGCACCTGGACTGTCTGTAACTTTGTTTTTATTGCCTTGTATTGTCCTAACCTCAAATGTTCAAATTTTATTACTCTAATTACATTACTATTATTATATCCATTTCATTACTATTAAACTTTTTAAAATTTTCAAGCCCAAGTGCCTGCCGCTTTCCAGAGGGCCCTGGGGGGTCACGCTGGGCTGCCGGGGCGGAGCGGGGCACCCGTGGCAGACCCGCCCCGGGGCCGCCCCTTCCGCGCGAACGGCGCGATGGAGCCCGGGCCGGCGGGGAGCGAGGCGGAGGAGGAGGAGGAGGAGGAGGCGGCGGCCGAGGCGCTGCGGCTGCTGCGGATCGAGCCCTCGGCCGGGGACGATCCCCGCGCGGGGCGGGGGTAGGTGCCCTCGGCAGCGGCCCCGGCCCGGCTGCCCTGGCCGCGGAGCGGCTGCGGGAGGCGCGGGCGGCGGGGCCCTGGCTCTGCGTGGACCTCGGCGTGGCCGGCGGCATGAGCGAGAAGGTGCGGGGGTCCCGGGGCTGCTCGGGGGTCCTGAGGCTGTTCCGGGTCTTGGGTGCTGCCTGGGGTCTCGGGGTCCCGGGGCTCTTTGGGGCCCGGGGGCTGCGTGGGAGTCCCAGAGCTTCTCGGGGTCCCAGGGCTGTTCGGGGGGTCCCGGGGGCTGCTCGAGGTCTTGGGGGCTGCTCGGGGTTCCTGGGGCTGTTTGGGGTCCCTAGGGCTGCTTGGGGGCTGCTCGAGGTCTTGGGGGCTGCTCAGGGGTTCTGGGGCTGTTCAGGGTCTCGGAGGCTGTTCAGGGGCTGCTTGGGGGTCCCAGGAGTTGCTTGGGTTCCCAGGGCTGCTCGAGGTCTTGAGGGCTGCTTGGGGTCTAGACAGGCTGCTTGGGGCTCCCAGGAGGCTGCACGGGGGTCCCGGGGGTGTTCAAGGTCCCCGGTGTTGCTTGGGGGTCCCGGGGTTGCTCAGGATCCTGGGGCTGCTTGGGGTCTTGGGGTCTCGGGGCTGCACGGGGGTCCCAGGGCTCCTCGGGGTCTCAGGGCTGTTTGGGGAGTCTCGGGGGTCCCAGGGGCTGCTCGGAGTCTCGGTCCCTGGGGCTGCTTGGGGGCTGCTCGAGGTCTTGGGGGCTGCTCAGGGGTTCTGGGGCTGTTCAGGGTCTCGGAGGCTGTTCAGGGGCTGCTTGGGGGTCCCAGGAGTTGCTTGGGTTCCCAGGGCTGCTCGAGGTCTTGAGGGCTGCTTGGGGTTCTAGACAGGCTGCTTGGGGCTCCCGGGAGGCTGCACGGGGGTCCTGGGGCTGCTCGGGGTTCTCGGGGCTGTTCAGGGGTCCCGGGTGTTGCTGGGGGTCCTGGGGCTGCTCGGGGGTCCCGGGGCTGTTCGAGGTCCCGGGTGTTGCTTGGGGGTCCCGGGGTTGCTCAGGATCCTGGGGCTGCTTGGGGTCTCGGGGTCCCGGGGCTGCACGGGGGTCCCAGGGCTCCTCGGGGTCTCAGGGCTGTTTGGGGAGTCTCGGGGGTCCCAGGGGCTGCTCGGAGTCTCGGGGACTGTTCGGGGGCTGCTTGGAGTCCCGGGTGTTGCTCAGGGGTCATAGACAGGCTCAGGGGTCCTGGGGCTGCTTGGGGTCTTGAGGGCTGCTTGGGGACTGCTCGGGGTCCCACACAGGCTGCTTGGGGCTCCCGGGGGATTGCACGGGGGTCCCGGGGCTGCTCGGGGGTCCTGGGTCTCTTTGGGGTCCTGGGGCTCCTCAGGGTCCCTGGTGTTGCTCGGGGGTCCTGGACAGGCTGCTCAGGGTCTCGGCGGCTGCTTGGGGTCCCAGGGCTCCCAGGTATTGCTCAGGGATCCCAGGGGTGCTTGGGGGTCCTGGGGCTGTTCAGGGTCTCAGGGTCTGTTCGGGGTCCTGGGGTTCCTCGGGGTCTCGGGTCTGTTTGGGGCCCGGGGGTTGCTCAGGGTCCCAGGGCTGCTTGGGGGTCCCGGGGGTTCCTCGGGGGGGCTGCTTGGGGTCTTGAGGGCTGCTTGGGGACTGCTCGGGGTCCCACACAGGCTGCTTGGGGCTCCCGGGGGATTGCACGGGGGTCCCGGGGCTGCTCGGGGGTCCTGGGTCTCTTTGGGGTCCTGGGGCTCCTCAGGGTCCCTGGTGTTGCTCGGGGGTCCTGGACAGGCTGCTCAGGGTCTCGGCGGCTGCTTGGGGTCCCAGGGCTCCCAGGTATTGCTCGGGGATCCCAAGGGTGCTCGGGGGTCCTGGGGCTGTTCAGGGTCTCAGGGTCTGTTTGGGGTCCCGGGGGTTCCTCAGGGTCCCGGGTCTGTTTGGGTCCTGGGGTTCCTTGGGGTCCCAGGTCTGTTCGGGGCCCGGGGGTTGCTCAGGGATCCCTGGAGCTGCTCAGGGTCCCGGATCTCTTCGGGGTCCTGGGACTGCTCGGGGTCCCGGGTCTGTTCGGGGTCCCGGGTCTGTTTGGGTCCTGGGGTTCCTTGGGGTCCCAGGTCTGTTCGGGGCCCGGGGGTTGCTCAGGGATCCCTGGAGCTGCTCAGGGTCCCGGATCTCTTTGGGGTCCTGGGACTGCTCGGGGTCCTGGGTCTGTTCAGGGTCCTGGGGCTGCTTGGGGTTCCCAGGGGTTCCTCGGGGTCCCGGGTCTGTTCGGGGTCCTGGGGTTCCTCGGGGTCCCGGCAGGCTGCACCCAGCGTGTGACCGAGCGCGGCCGCGGGCCGGGGTCACGGTGCCGCCGTGTCCCCAAGGAGAGTGGCCGGCTGGCCTCGCAGATCCGCCGGCTGTACGGCGCGAACCGGCGCGCGGCGCGGCCCTTCTGGCTGTGCCTGACCGAGTTCACGGCGGGGACGCCCATCTACGAGCAGTGCTTCCGCATGAACGACGGCTTCGGGGCGTACCTGGTGAGGGCCAGCGCCGGGCTCTGCCTCCTGTCTGCAGCCGGTCACCGGGGCTGCTCTCCCTTCTCAGAGCACCCCGAGGCCTTTGGATGAGGGGAGAATGTCATGGGGTTTGTGGGTGTGTTGGTCAGTGCCTAGAACAGAAACATTGTCCAGGTGGGAAAGAAGAACCCCGGCTCACTGGGGTCCACCAGACCTTTGGTGGTTTGTGTGTCCAAAGCAGCAGTGCAGTCCTGGGATATCTCTGTGTCTGGGAGGGGGCTTTGTTCTGGCACATGTCCCTCTGGCTAATGGGCTGCTTCACTCTGCCTTGTGTTTTGAGATGGACACAACCCCAGAGAGTTACCTGGACCTGTTTCCCTTGGAGGCCATTGTTTATCTCACTCCTGACTCTGAGAACGGTAAGTATGCCTCAGGAAAGGGAGAACCAGGGCAAAAGGCTGGCTATTAGACATTTCTTTCTGAGGCCATTCCATGCTTTGGGCAAGCTGTTCCTCACATGGGCTGTCTCACATTGCGTGAGGCACAGGGTGTGCTCAGATCTGGTGCTGAATCTGTGCTGGTGGGACCTGGCCTTGGGAGGGGGGTGTGCTGGGGAGCGCTGTCCTGCTGCTGAGCCAGTGCCTGCCCTCTTTAGTGCTCGAGGACATCGACCCCAGCAAGGTGTACGTGCTGGGAGGGCTGGTGGATGAGAGCATCCACAAGGTGCGTGGTGAGCAGGCACACCCCTCTGCTGTCCCTGCCTCGCTCAGGCTGTGCCTGCACGCAGCAGCCAGCTGGGAGAGGCTGCAGCAGTGCTGCGAGCCCCTGGCCTGGCTGGTGGCCGCCGTGCGAGGCCGCGTGTCCGTGTGTCTGTCCCTGCAGCAGCTGACCCTGCGGAGGGCGCGGGAGCAGCGCCTGCACACTGCCCGGCTGCCCATCCGCGAGTACATGGTGCGAGCCCCCAACGCCAGGAACTACCACTGCGAGACACTGGCCATCAACCAGGGTGAGGGCTGCAGGGCTCCCGGGCCGGCCGTGCCCCCCGGGCACGGGGCAGGGCACACCCGGGGGCAGGGGCTGCCCTGGGGACGGCACTGCTGCGACCTGTGCCGCCTCAGCCAAGGCTGAGAGTGGCAGGGAGGGGTCCTGGTGTCCTGTACCCCTGCTGGTCACAGCAGAGGCTGTGCTCGTGCTCCTTCACCTCTGCAGAGGGGCTCGTGACCCAGGCCAGCTCCTCAGAGTTTTTACCCCTGACGTGAGCATTGTGTTGCCCCTCCATGACACAAGGCAGAGGAAGTGGCTGGGGGCTGTGTGTGCCCAGGGGACGGGGGCTCCCTGCCTGGGAGTGATAGTGGGAGCACAGCAGGTGTGGCTCACCACGGGGGGACACTGGCAGGTGGCACATGTCAGCCAAGGCAGTGACGGGGGCACCTCTCTATTTGACACAGCCACTGCTTTGCCCAGAGCTCCCTAAAGTCCTCTCCAAAATACCTGTGTGCCCCAGGTGAGCTGCCTCAAGCAGCAGCTCATCAGGTGTTGGGTGGGGGACCTTCCCTGGGCCAGCTGGCAGTGGCATTGTGGTGGGTGTGTGGCGCTGCTGGCACCACTGTCACAGCCCATGTGACTCAGCCCCGCTCTGCTCTGGCAGTCTTTGACGTCCTGTCCACCTACTACGAGACACGGAGCTGGCCAGCAGCCCTGAGGGCTGGAGTTTCCTCTGGGAAAGGCTACGTGCTGCCGGACACAGGGGAGCAGGGGGACACAGCCCTGAGCGCCGCTGCTGCCCAAGGAAGCTCTGCATTTCGTGCTGAGGAGCTGCAGAGGCAGGAAGCACCAGCGTGACTGCACAGGAGACAGCTCCTTCCAGCGGTGTGAGGGGCTCGCTGGAGCAACACCTTCTACCTCAGGAATGCGGTGCTGGACATCGCCCGTGCCCCCCGCAGGAAGGGAAAGCCTGGCGGGGCCTGGGACCAAGTGAAAACTGACAGGAATTCAGTTTTGCCTCTTTGCAGCTGTTTATTTGTGACTCCTGCCCCTACGCTCGTTCTGAGGTGGGCAGGAGAGCTTTGGGGTGTGTTCTTCATTTTATTGGAACAGAGTAAGGTGAGGTTAGGGTTGCAAAGCTCTTGGGCAAGGGGAGCGCCCTGCCATGGGGCAGGAGAGTGCTGCTCCTGCAGGAGAACAAGGGGTGGGGAGCAGCTCCCAGGGGCACTGCGTCCCAGCAGCTTAAACCCACCCAAGTTCGGTGAGCTGTTGAAGCCTTTGGCTAGTTGTGTGCATCTAATATAAAATAAAAGGTTTAGATCCCCATTGTGTCCCTACAGCTACTGATGAGTGGTACCTCGGCACGGGGTCAGGGACCTGTGTGTGCCACCTGTGTCCCTGCTGCAGGCCCCTGGGCTGGGCTGTGCCCTGCACGGAGCAGTGTCAGGTGCCAAGCCACAGCAGGAGCGTGTTTGGTGCAGCTGAGCCCACACATTACCTCAGCCACTGCTGCCAGACGAGCCCTGAAACCTCCTGGCCGGTGGCAGCAGGGCCTGGAGGCCATCTGAGGTAAGTTTGGTTATGTGTTTTCATTCCTGTCTCACAGGCAAACCCGTGCACAGCCCTGGGGCTTGTGTCCGAGCGCGTGTGACAGTGCAGGAGCGCCGGGGGTTTACCCAGGCCAGGGCTGAACCTGAGCTGCAGCCATGGCAGGAGCTGTGCTGGCCAGTGCCCGCTGCTGTGCCCTGGGGCTCTTGGCAGCTGCATGTGCAGATGATCCCCTTCAGTGTCCCAGAGCCAGGGGACAGCGCTGTCCCCAGCGTGCCTGGGGAGAGGTGGTGCTGTCACTGCAGCCCACGGTGCCCCACAGCTCCCTGGGGAGGGGCGGCCAGCCCCAGTACCCCCAGGGGGGTGTCAGCAGGAGGGGTGGCTGTGCCCTGTCCCTGGCCAGGTGAGTGGCACCTGCTGGGAGGGGCAGAGAGCCACCTGGGGTGCCCCACATTCGGCCGGGGTAGGGGTTGGTGTCCCCTCAGCCCAGCCTGCCTGCCGAGCAGCGTGGCTGAGGCAGGCTGAAGGGCTCCCCCCCTGCCCACGGGGAAGGCAGCTGAGAGAACACCGCCAGGCTGACCACCTGCACCTCCCGTGCCAGCCAGGGGACGAGCCCGGGGCAGGGCACACACGCTGGAGGGCTCCAAGAGCACCCGGGGCTGCCCTTGGGGAGCCGCACCAGCGTGTGGGCACGTCCCACCCTGGGCTAAACATCGCCTGGGGCACGGCCTGAGCTGGCAGAGGGCACACCCCGGGCCTCTGTCCCCTCGTGTGCGCCCACCCTGCCCGTCACAGCCACGGGGACGCCCTGAACTGCTGCAGCAGGCAGAAGATGGCAGCGGCCAGGGCCGTGTGCTGGCGGGCCAGCAGCTCGGTGCCCAGCTCGGGGCAGAGCTGCCCGTGCAGCTGCTGCTGCAGGGCCTGCACCAGCTGCTGGTAGGTGCCCACCACGTCCCCCAGCGCCGCCGCCAGCTCCTGCTGCCGCTGCCCGCAGCGCCGGCAGTGTGTCACCTGGAAGCAGGTCACTGCCAGCTGCACCAGCCGGTCGAAGGTGGCCCTGAGGGCGCACTGCACCTCCGCGGCAGGCTGCTCCGGGCTCAGCAGCGCCCGGCAGCTGGACAGCAGCGCCTGGGACGCCCAGCCCAGCGCGCCCTGGCTCTGCACGCCCTGCTCCGCGCACTGGTGGTGCAGGTGGGTGGCCTGGCTGCCGCAGAGCTTCCCCACGACCTCCCGCAGCTCCACGGTGCAGGCCAGGAAGTGGGAGAAATCCGCGGGGCTCACCCACGCCTGGTCCTTCAGCTGCCCCAGCACGCGGACGTGGGGGTCCTGCCCCGCCGTGTCCCCAGAGACAGGGACAGGGAAGGCGCTCCCGGGAGCGCTGCAGCTGCGGGCTGGCGGGGCGGTGAGGGGCCCTGGCAGCTCGGGGGGGCTGGATTCGCGCTCCCCCCGGCTGTGGGGCTGCGGGAAGCAGCTGAGGTAGGGCAGGCGGCAGCCGCAGCGCTCCAGCCCTGCAGGGGCTGGGCAGGGCGCGGGGGACACCGGGGTCTGCTCACCCTGCTCGGCGGTAAAGCACAGGAACGAGTGCTGTGCAGCCCCCTGGGCTCCTGCTCCTTGCCCCAAGGGAACTGAGGAGGTGGCAAGCCCTGCAGGTGCAGGCAGGGAGCAGTCCTTCCCCAGCCCCGCCGCCTGCTCTCTGGGCAGACAACCCTGTGCAGGCTGGGGCTCGTTTTTTGGGTCTCCTTGGGTCTGCTGCTGGGGCTCATGTCTCGGCTCTCCTGGCTGCCCTGCGCCCTGCCCAGGGCTGCTCAGCAGCTCCCGGGCAGAGCCCGCTCCTGCAGGGGATGCTGGCAGCGTCCTGCCACCCGCCCCGGCCCCCAGGCACCCGCGGCTTGCCTGCAGTGGGTCGTGCCCGCGGTCCTGCAGGCCGTGTGACACGGCGCTGAGTGGCACGGGGTCTGTCCTGACCCCCAGAGAGAGCCAGGAGAGGCGGCTGAGCAGCCCCGAGGCGCTGCTGCAGCCGGCCAGGAGCTGCGCTGGGTGCGGGAGCCGCGCCTGCCCCCCGAGCCCCTTCCGCAGGGTCTGCCCGCTCCCCGGCCCGCTGCTGGACAGCACGGGGTGCGACACGGGCTGGGATAGGGGCTGGGACACGGGCCGGGACACCGCCGCCTCGCAGCTGCTGCTGGCACGGCACTGACCCCGAGCATGGCCCTGACCATCAGCATGGCACTGACCCTGGGCACAGCACTGACCATTGCCATGGCACTGACCCTGAGCATGGCCCTGAGCATTACCATGGCCCTGAGCATCACCATGGCACTGACCATCACCATGGCACTGACCCTGGGCACAGCACTGACCATTGCCATGGCCCTGACCATCAGCATGGCCCTGAGCATCACCATGGCCCTGAGCATCACCATGGCACTGAGCATTGTCATGGCACTGATCATCACCATGGCCCTGAGCATCACCATGGCACTGACCCTGGGCACTGCCCTGACCCTGGGCACTGCCCTGACCCTCAGCACAGCACTGACCATTGCCATGGCACTGACCCTGAGCATGGCACTGAGCATCACCATGGCACTGAGCATCCCATGGCCCTGACCATCAGCATGGCATTGAGCATCACCATGGCACTGACCCTGGGCACAGCACTGACCATTGCCATGGCCCTGACCATCACCATGGCATTGAGCATCACCATGGCACTGACCCTGGGCATGGCACTGAGCACTGTCATGGCACTGACCATCACCATGACACTGACCATTGCCATGGCACTGACCATGGGCACTGCCCTGACCATCAGCAAGGCATTGAGCATTGACATGGCACTGGCCCTGGCCATGGCACTGACCATCACCATGGCCTTGATCATCACCATGGCCCTGAGCATGGGCACTGCCCTGACCATGGACACTCCCCTGACCATCACCATGGCACTGACCATCACCATGGCACTGACCCTGGGCACTGCCCTGACCCTGGGCACTGCCCTGACCCTCAGCACAGCACTGACCATTGCCATGGCACTGACCATCACCATGGCACTGATCATCACCATGGCCCTGAGCATGGACACTCCCCTGACCATCAGCATGGCCCTGACCATCAGCACGGCACTGACCCTGGGCATGGCACACCCCATCACCATGGCACTGACCCTGGGCACTGCCCTGACCATCACCTTGGCACTGACCATCACCATGGCCCTGAGCATGGGCACTGCCCTGACTATGGACACTGCCCTGACCATCACCTTGGCACTGACCATCAGCACTGCCGTGACCATCAGCACTGCCGTGACCATCAGCGCTGCCCTTGCCGCTGCCACAGCGGTGGCCCTCGGCGTTGCTGTCCTGCCAGGGGGCCAGGGAAGGCTCCAGCCCGGCAGGGAGCAGCCCCGGGTGCTGGGTGGGCTGCCGGGGAGGGGCCGCGCCGGGGCCGGGGGCCGGCGGCAGCAGCAGGGGCTGGTCGGAGGGGCCCGCAGCAGCACAGGGCGCAGCGCCGGCCCGGGGCTGCGTGCCCGGCAGCTCAGCGCCCTGCTCCTGCAGCCCTGCAGCGGGCACACGGCTCTCCCCGCTCGGACTGCCGGGGTCTGCCTCCCCCGGGGCGCTCTCCTGGGCAGCTCCACTCTGGCCGCGGGGAGGGGGCTCCGGGGCCAGCAAAGGGGGCTGCTGTGGCTGCGGGCTGCTGTCCTGCTCCCCACACTGGCCACCAGCAGGGTGAACGTCCAGCAGGGAGGCGACCAGCCTTTCCATCGCCGACTTCGTCTCCGTGGTGTCAGGCTCGGTGTGCCGCGGGGCAGAGCAGGGGTCTGCGCCAGCAGAGCCCCCCTGGGCCCGGGGGGCTGCGGCCAGCCCCCTCTCCGTGTCCTCCCCCGTGTCCTCTGTCGGGGGCTGCGCGGGCGGCCAGGAGCAGCAGCGCTGGGGAGAGCCTGGGGCAGCTGCAGGGAAACTGACCTGCGAGGTGTAGTCAGTTTTCAGGAAGGACCTTCTCTTCCTCAGGCTCTTGCTGCAGGTCAGCTCCTTCTCCTGGCCCTGCTTCTCCCTCCTGGCGGGGTTCTGCCCCAGGCTGTAGCACCGCAGCCTCTGGGGGATGCAGGAGGAGTGCTCCGTGCCCTCCCAGGACGCTGTGTCGTGGCCTGGTGGCAAGAAAAACATGGAAATCAGGAGGCAATCCCGGGCAGCAGAACGTCCTCATGCCCACACAGGGAGCCAAAAAGCTCCTGGCACAGGACGGGGGATCACAGGCACAGAGGTCCAGCAGCAATGCCTGGCTCCCGAGGGCAAAGGGAATTGGGAGACTCATGATCAAGAACCCACATGGAGTGGGATGTCAGAAAAATCAGAGCCTGGCTGTGTGGCTGCAAGGGCTGGTGAGGAGGGAGCAGCTTCACCTGGAGGCAGGTGTGGCTGTCATTCCCCAGGTGAATCTGGGGGCAGCAGCGGCACAGCAGAGCCCTGCCCACAGCTGTAGGCGTGTCACCACACGGAACACCCATGGCCAGAGGCTCACAGCTGGACACTTGGCTGGTGACAATTTCTGCAGTGACAGTCCCTGCCTGAGCACAGCACAGTGCCTGTGCACTGCTGCAAACGCCAAAACTGCTCTAATGGCGTGAGCTCAGTTCTTAGGAGGTTCTGTTAACACTGAACGAGCTGATTCCTTCAGGAACGAGAATACTCCCATTTCTGAGGAAATACAGTGGTCAGGGAGCTGCCCAGCCCTGGGAATCCTTGACCCAGCTCTGAAACCAGCCTCTGACCCGAGCACAGCCTTTGAGCCTGGGGGTTCATGTAGCAATGTTTTACAGGTTTGGGGGATTCCAGAATGCCCCTCCTCGGTAAACTGACTTTCCCCAGCACCCAGTCTTTGCACGTGGTAACAAATCCCCCTGCAATCGCACTGTAAGGGGGCTGAGGGGCGGCCTGCAGAGGGCAGGGGGGATCAAAGGTCCTTCCAAAGTCCTGGAAAAGCCCCCAACAGCCAGCTCAGTAGGACCGATTATTACCCTGATTTTTTAAGATTTTCTAAGCCTTCTGATGTATGCATTCTTGTAGCAAACTGTCTCACACACTTCCTGTAAACAACCTATTGTTTTGCATTCTTTTATGGAGGAGGAGAAATTTGATGGACTGTTGGTTTGTCCACCTTGGAGAGGGGGCGCTGTCACCCTCCAATCCACTGCCACCTTTGGAAATCTAAAAAGGCTGGAGTCATGAAACGAATTTCTCTTTTTTCCCTGGGGAGCAGCGTGCCGTTCCGCGCCCCGCAGCCACACGGGGCAGCGCCGGGGCTTTACCTGCCAGCTCGGCGGGGCTGAGCCTGTCGGCAGCGTCGTAGAACTCCTCCTCGGAGCTGGAGTCCCCGAAGCCCGGCGGCGGCCGCAGCACCGGCTCGCTGTCCCGGCTGCAGCACAGCCCGCGGGGCGCCGGCGGCACCGGCAGGGAGCAGGAGCAGCCCCCGCTGCCCCGGTGGGCGCCGCTCATCTCCCGCACGGGGGGCAGCTCCGCCCGGGAGGAAGAGCACGCTCCCAGCTCCTCTTCCTCCAGCGCATCCACGGACTCGCTGGAGCCGCTCGTCTTGCAGCCGCGGCTCTCGGTGCGCGCCGAGTCGGACGCCTCGGAGGCGCTGTCGGTGCCGGGGTCGCCGCCGGTGGCCCCGGGGCCGGCCGGGCACCGCTCCGAGCCGGGCTCCGGCTCCCAGGAATCCTCCGAGTCGCTGCAGGCTCGCGATTCGTACCCTGCGGGGTCAAGGAGCCCGTCAGCCCAGGCTGTGGGTGGGGGGCTCAGCCCGACCCCGGGGGCTCAGCCCAAGCTGCACCCCCCGAGCTGCAGGGCAGGGTCCTGATGGAGCTGGGGGTGCTCCAGCCCCCCGAGCTGCAGGGCAGCGTCCTGATGGAGCTGGGGGTGCCCCCAGCCCCGAGCTGCACCTAACCCAAACCCAGCCCAGCTGACCCCAAGGCTCGGTCCCCGCAAGCCCGCAGCTGTCGGAGAACCAGGGCACCGTGAATGCTGGAGAAGCCCTCCCAGATCACCGAGCCCAGCCTGGATCCAAGGCAGGTACCACCGCACAGCCCCGGGCTGCTGCTGCTGCTGCTGCTCCCAGGGTCCTCCCAGCTCCTCTTCCTCCAGCGCATCCACGGACTCGCTGGAGCCGCTCGTCTTGCAGCCGCGGCTCTCGGTGCGCGCCGAGTCGGACGCCTCGGAGGCGCTGTCGGTGCCGGGGTCGCCGCCGGTGGCCCCGGGGCCGGCCGGGCACCGCTCCGAGCCGGGCTCCGGCTCCCAGGAATCCTCCGAGTCGCTGCAGGCTCGCGATTCGTACCCTGCGGGGTCAAGGAGCCCGTCAGCCCAGGCTGTGGGTGGGGGGCTCAGCCCGACCCCGGGGGCTCAGCCCAAGCTGCACCCCCCGAGCTGCAGGGCAGGGTCCTGATGGAGCTGGGGGTGCTCCAGCCCCCCCCGAGCTGCAGGGCAGGGTCCTGATGGAGCTGGGGGTGCCCCAGTCCCGAGCTGCACCTAACCCAAACCCAGCCCAGCTGACCCCAAGGCTCGGTCCCCGCAAGCCCGCAGCTGTCGGAGAACCAGGGCACCGTGAATGCTGGAGAAGCCCTCCCAGATCACCGAGCCCAGCCTGGATCCAAGGCAGGTACCACCGCACAGCCCCGGGCTGCTGCTGCTGCTGCTCCCAGGGTCATCCACCCGCCTCCTCCCCACCCCGTGTAAAAAAAAGCTGTTTGTATAAACCTTCCTCAGCCGAGACACGGTGCAGCTGCTGTTTTTTCTCTCCCCAGGTGAACACGGAGGCGTTTGCATCCACGAGGAGCCGGTAGTAGCCCGCGATGAGGCAGACCAAGTCCTTAGCACTGTTTGACTCCAGCAGCAGAGTAAGCACCTTTTTTTGGTTTATTTTTCGGAGGTGAGGGGGAGAAAAAGTAAAGATTAGAATAAGCAAATATTGTTTGTATGCAGTCAGCAGGAACAGGCAGCACAAGGACAAGGCACCCCCTCTGTCTCTTACAAGGAGGCACAAAAAGGAGTAATTTATTTTCTTGCCTTTGCTGCATCTCAGTGATTGAGGAAAAATCGCTTTTCCTCAGCAGGAAAAATCCCTTCTCTCTAGCAATATTTTGTCTGCTCTAAGCCCTTTATCCTGGTGAGTGCCCAGCCCCTGGGGAGGGCTGGTGGTGCAGGAGGCTCCCGTGCCCACCCGGTGCTCACCTTCAGGTCCTGCAGGTAGATCTTGACGGTGCTGACGCGCTCGGAGTCCTCGCTGAGCTCCACCCTGCTGATGCTGGGGAACTCGGCCAGGCTGCTGACCATGTTCAGCTTGCTGTTGACGATCTGGCTCACGCCGTGCTTGGCGCCCACCAGCAGCGCCACGTACGACTCCCTGTCCTGCAGCTGTGGGGCAGGGTTACCCCGGGGCAGGGACCCTCAGCCGGGCTGGGCAGGGCCCCCCGGGCCCCCCGCCCTCCCGGGGACCCCTGCACTGCCCCTCCTTGCTGCTCCCTGCTCTTTCCCCCAGCAGCAGCCGCCTGGCAGAGCCAGGGACGTGGCTGGCAGCAGCAGGTCGCTGTCAGCAGCGTCACCTGGCAGTCCCCATGTGGAGCCAGTGACACCTGCTGCAGGGTAGAAACTTCACAAAGACATTTCTGGGCTTGCAAGAAGTGTCAGTGCTTTTTGTTAGGGTGAGACACTTAATGAAAAATGAATTAACGCACATGTACTCTGGCAGACATTGTTCAGTTTGCAGGTGGGGGTGAAGTTTAGCACTGCTGTGACCCACGGGTGGGTCTTGCAGGGGTACAGGCCCACCAGCATGGCTCAGCTCCCTGTGTGACACAGCTTGTGCTCTGCAGCTGAGCACAGACCCACCTGGGGACAGGCAGGACAATCAACAACCCAAGAAACCTCGTGTGAAGAGGGAAGAGTTCTTCCTCACTCTGAGGTTTCAGGGATTCCACTATTTTCTCAACGCTTTGAAGCCTGCCCAGATTTCCCAAGTACTTTATAACACACAGGGTTTAGTGAAGAGCAAGGGATGCAGCCTCCAATCAGACAAACACGGAAACTGCTCAGTGCTGTGGACTCCTGAGAGGAATGAAGCTGAGCTTTCCCAGCACAGCCCCTCACTGAGAGGCACGGAGCCTGCCAGGACAGGGAGGGCAGCGCGGGCCCCCAGCAGCCCCTCACACAGCCCCTACCATCATGGTGGCGTTGAAGATCATGCTGCTGTACATCTTCAGCTCCCCCAGGATCTGCAGGTAGCTCAGGCGCACCTGGGCCGCGGCGGGCGCCTGCTGGGGGGCGAGAGGGGACACAGTCACCAACGGGGGCTGCAGCAGCACACAGCCCGGGCTCGGGGCTGCCACCTGCACCTGGGCAGAGAACACCCAGGTGACACGCAGGTCAGCTCCCCCAGGATCTGCAGGTAGCTCAGGCGCACCTGGGCCGCGGCGGGCGCCTGCTGGGGGGCGAGAGGGGACACAGTCACCAACGGGGGCTGCAGCAGCACACAGCCCGGGCTCGGGGCTGCCACCTGCACAGCCAGCTCAGCCTGCCCGGCAGCAGAGCTGCCCAGGACCACCCCACACGGCACAGAGCAGGGAGCGTGGGCAGAGAACACCCAGGTGACACGCAGCGGGGCACGCTGTCCCCTGGGGCTCACAGCCTACCTTCTGCCGAGGGTCCAGCAGCACCTGGTTCCTCTTCAGGTGGTAGCTGATGGCTTTCTTGATGTCCTTGCCCCGCATGTTCCGCAGCAAGGTGGGCGAGATGAAGTTCTCGATGCCCCAGTCCCTCCTGGCAGACAGAGGGAAGGGAGCACGGGGGGTGCCAGCCACGCTGCCCCCAGCAGCACAGCGCGGGGCAGGGCCACCAGGCAGCCCTGGGGGGCTGTGACACCCCCGTGGCCTCGCTGGCTGCAATTCCCTGCTGCCAGCAGGTCAGGACAACGCGCACAGTGCGCACTTTGGGGCAGAACGGCCGTTTTCACGAGGTGTCACAGGAGGGAATTCACGGCCTGCGAGAGCAGCGCAGTGCCCATCTCCCCCCACCATCCCCGGCATGGGGGCTCTGTGCTGGCGTGCCCCTTGCTGTGGTGGCAGGGCTGTGACATTCCAGCAGGGCCACAGCGTGGGCCAGGCGTGCTGCTGCAGGCATTAAACACCCGTGGGGTGACAGCGGTGTGGCTGCCACTCCCTGCACACAGCTGGGCACATCTGGCTGCACACGAGGCTGCCAGTGCTGGAAATTACCCTGGTCACCACAGCAGTGCTGGTAATTAACGGGTAATTAACTGCTGCCTGGAGCAGGGCCCCTGCAGGGCAGTGCAGTGCAAGAGCACCAGCGTGCAGCACAGCACACCTGCCCCTTCTGAGAGCATTTTTTGGCCATTCCCCACAGATCCCAGGAGCTGCCACTGCCCAAAGGAGGTATTCCTGGCATGCCTCTGGCTGTGCAGGGTGGATGATTGCACCCTCTCTCTCCAGTCAGTACTGGCAGGAGCAGCTCGGGCAACCACCCCTGTGTGAGAGATCTGCAGTGTCAAACCCCTGGCCCTGTGACAAAAACCCTCCCTGTGCCTCCCAGTAATTACATATCCTCTGAACAGAGGGGAACACAGGTCTCCCAGGAAAGTCCTGGGAAGCTGTGTAGACGCTGTGGGAAACTTAGAAGAAATAATTCAAACAATTATTATCTCTCTTTCTGTAACCACTGTTTATAAATATGGTTCTCCTCAGTGCACTATTCACAGATCACCCATAGTGGTAAAAAAAAATTCCTGCAAGCCAATCAAGTTTTAAATCCACCATTATTTCGATAAACACTGTAGATTTCTAATAATAAAATGGCTTTTCATACCTTCTGATGCTAAAGTCTCTAGATCACCTTTAGAGTGTCCACATCACCTTTACCCGTCCCCAGCACCCCTTCAGTAGCAGGGGGTGCTGGGGACAGTTAAAGGATCAGGACAGTTGAGGACAGGGGGCCCTGAGGCCACCCTGCAGCACAGCCAAGAGGCTGCAGTCCCCTCTGGACTCTGTGCAGAGCTAAACAGGGACAAACAGTGACCTGATGCCACTTTTGGGGTCTCCAGGTTTTGCTGGGCTTAGTGACAGCAGAGCACAGGAATAGGAATTTTGGGGTTTTTTTATGTGTGGAGACACATGGTTTGACTCTATTTTCTCAGAAGGTTGAGTTATTATATTGTGATATATATTATATTAAAATACTATATAAAAACTATACTAAGTGAACAGAGAGAAAAGATTGTCAGAAGGCTTGAAAGAACAAGAATAGAATGAAAAACAAAATCTTGTGCCTGCTCACAGCCTTAATACAAGTGGCTGTGGTTGGTCACTCATTGAACACAATCCACATGGAGCAATGGAAGATGCACCTGTGGCATTCCACAGCAGCACACAGTTATTGTTTGCATTTCTTTCCCGAGGCTTTCAGTTCTTTCAGGAAAGAAAAATCTTAATAGGCAATGTTTGATAAAATACCAAAATTGCACGGGAGCACTCACTCGATGTATTTCAGGGACACCTTCTGTGGCTGGGCGCAGGCAGAGATCCTCTCCTGGATGTGCAGGGCGGCCAGGCGCAGCGCCACGCTGCACTTCATCTCCACTGCAAACCTCTCCTGGAGCACGTCGCTGCAGCTCTGGGGCAAACACAGCACCCTCAGGCCACGGGAAGGCAGGGCAGAGCCACCACCACCACCCACGCAGCCCGCCAGGGCTGTCCCCACCAGGCACGCAGGCTGACTTCAGAGTTTAGGGCAAATTGAGCTGAAATGCCCAGATTCTGAGTGCCAGCCCGAGGCACGCCCTGGTTTAAAGCAGGAATGAGCATGGGGCGAGGAGGGATTGCCGAGCACGGCCCCAGGGTCACCTGCAGGTACAGATACTCAAAGGCCACCGGGTCTTCCTGCAGGAGGTCCAAGGGGTCCCTGGGCACAAAGCACACCCTGAAGAGGCAGCGGTAGTCGTGAGAGTCTCTCTTCTGCACCACCTGCAAGACAGAGGGGTGTCACAGCACAAGCCCCCCCAGGGGTGCCCCAGGAGCCTTTGCCCTGCAAACCCACGGGAATGGGTTCACACCACTGCAGGGACACGGTGCAGACTGGCCTGAACAAACACAAGGAGACTTTGCTAGCGCTCATAACTCCATCTCTGATGCTCCATCTGTTTGTTTCTTCTCCCTGCAGTAGCCCAGAGGCTGCAGCAAGACCTCATGTGCATGCCCACTGATCCCAAACACGTGCAGTGTCACCAGGACAGAGGCACCGGGGCTGTGTGATAACAGCAGGGGAAGGGGCAGGCTGCTCTGCTTTGGAGCGCAGTCACAAGGCACAGCAGCCCTAAGCAGACCCCTGAATCATCCCTGGAATGTCAGTGCAATGTCAAGGCTCTGAGTTACCCATCAGCATGTTTTATTCTGGGCAGGCGGAAATCCTGACCCGTGTGCTCAGTGGTGGGACAGCTCCAGCCCCTGAGGGAGTGCAGCTGGATGGTTCCCTTGTGTGCCTTCCCGTTCTGTGAGAGTGCAGGGACCCCTCTGCAGCAGGCTGCCCGCCACCAAACCCAGCAGCAGGGAGCTGGGGCAGCTCAGCAGCACCCCTGACAAACCTGCACGGCTGCAGGATGCCACGGGCTCACAGGGCACAAGGTCCTGGCCCAGAATTCAGCCCAGGTGGCCCCTGCCAGGGTGGATACCCTGCCTGCCCGGGGAGCTGTGAGCAGAGAGGTCGGGCACAGCTGCCCTACAGCTGCCCCAGGCTCCAGCAGCCCTCTGCAGGCAGGCTGCTGTGACAGGGGGCACAAAGGATGTCACCCACGACTGCCCTCCAGGCAACACCAGCCCAGGGGTGCTGCTGCGTGTGTGGGGGCACTCAGGATGCTCCCCAGGAGCCCTTCCCCAGGGGAGTGGACACCCAGAGGTGGTGGCATCGCTGGGGCCGAGCTGAGCTGGCCCCTCCGGTGACCCCTGCAGCGCCGGGCTCCCTGTGCCCTCTCCTGGGGGGCAGTGCCCCTCTGCAGGGCTCGGGGGGCACGGGGGCCCCGCTCACCTGCGCAATGAGCTCCTCCTCGTGCAGCAGGTGGATCTTGGCCAGGCTGTACTGCTCCTCCAGCGCCAGCGCGAAGTGCGCGATGCTGCGGATGGACAGCTTCTCCTGCAGCGTCAGCACGATGTCCTGCAGGGCACAGGGCTCGCACAGGGCGCGGCTGCGGGCTGCCACGGCGCGCCCGCAGCGATCCCAGCAGCTGGAGGGCACGCGGGCAAGCTGCAGACCCCGAGGGGTCACAGGTGTCAGACCCATCCCCTGGGGCTGCCTGGGCCCAGCTGCCTCACACTGACAGCTCTGCTCTGCAGCTGGGTGCTGCTGGGCACTTTGTGTCACCCTGAGTGACAGAAGCACCCCGAGGGCTTGCTCTGTGTGTTATTCCAGATCTCCAGAACTCTGCAACATTTGGGAAATGTCCCAGGCCAGGCTGGGCAGGACTGGAAATGAGAGGTGTCCCTGCCCATGGCAGGAGGTTGGAACTGGATGGTCTCTAAGGTCCTTTCCAACCCAAATCTATGATTTTTGACAAAACTAAAAAAAAAGAACTTGCTAGAAACACTTCTCTCCAATAAACAAGAATTTGAGACCACAATTGTGAAAAACCCTACCACATCCCACTGAAGCTGGTGTTTCACTTTGAAATAGAGAATTCTGTCAATATTCTAACTGCTATGGAAGTAACAAGGTTTACTTTTGGCAAAAACAAAAGATCACCTCAGGCTTGACTGAGCACAAATTGAAACAGAAGCCCTTGGGCTCACTCAAGCCTTTTGAGGCAAGCATAAAGGTTTGACTCACCTCAGTTCTAAGCCAGGATGTCTCAGAACCCAGAGGACTTTCTGGAAACACCTAACTTGGGAAGCATTTTACTCATTTAGGTGTTTCTGGAGGGCACTGGTTAGAGTTGCTCTCAGAAACTGGGAAAACTTGTTGCATGTCAGAGCTGAGCAACTCCAGTCAAAGACAAAGAGCTAATCCATCCTTTAGAAATTAAACCCTTGGGGACAGGCACTCAAATATCTTTTTACAAGTCTTCCTTCCTTTCCACCTCCTAGTTTTATTTCACTATTTTATTTTTCTACACCCTGCAAGTCAAAAGGCTTGCAGACACTCACTTGCCTGAGAGACCACAATGGTTTTGTGAAGCTTGAACGAGCTAGACACACTCCTCCTTTTCTGAGGAAAGTTTTCACTGCATGATAAATGAAATCTCTTTGTGTTTCCCTTCAATACACTTTCAGAATGCCTGTCCCTCCTGGGTATCTCCCACAGCACCTGCACTGGTGCAGGACACCACCTGTCCTTTAAGTAATTTGTGACCTCCAGCCACTGGCCATGGCCAAATCTTACCAAGCCCAACAGAAACTCTGAGCAGCCACAAGGACCAGGCCAGGGGACCTGGAGGTGTGCAAGGCTGTGCCCCAGCACAGCACTTTGGGGAGGGCTGGACCCCAGCAGAGCAGCACCGTGCTTTCAGGGGAGTGATCAGAGGGAGGATCACGCTTTGCTCAGGAGGATCCTGTGCTGCTCTCTGACCTGGGGGTGAATCAGTGCTCGTGTCTAGAGGGGAGCACCTCACAGTGCAGAACGGGGCTGGGGTCAGCCAACCCAGCGTGCCCAGCAGTGCCACAGCTGGGGGGCTGCAAGGGCCCTGCCTGCCCCTCTGCTGCTGGGCACGGAGCCGCCTTACCTTCACAGTGGTGCTGCTCTCAAACCTGAACGCCTTGGTCTGTCCGTTCTCCAGGTACACCTTGAGAACGTTGGGCATGAACAGGAGGGAGCTGCCCTGCGGAACGGGAGCAGCAGCTGGAGCCTCGGGCACACAGCCTGCGGGCACAGCTGCTCTGCCCGGCCCTGCCACCCAGGAGAAGCCTCCTCTGCCCTGGCAACCCTCCTGCACGGCGCCTGGCTGTGCTCCTGGCGCGGGAGACAGGAGGGGAGCACAGCAAGCGCCTTTCCCTCGGGGCAGCTGGGCAGCCCTGCCGCGGCCCCAGCGGCCAAGCAGGACCCGGCAGGCGCTGGAAGCACAAAGCCAAGCTCCCTGTCACCACCAGCACCCGGCGGTGCCTCGGGAAAAGGCATCCTCCCCTCCCAGCAGCAGGATCCCCGTGCTGCCCGCTGCCCCGGCACTGCCCCTGCCGCGGGGTGCAGCCATGACGTGTTAGGAGAAATCCTTTGCTAGGATTTTCCTCCTGAGGACCTGAGAAACCTCAGGAAAAAAAACGTAAGCAATAATTATCTGCTGCTGTGGAATGCAGCAGGTGCAGCTGGGATTGGTGCATGTTGGTTGTTTCGAATTGATGGCCAATCACACTCAGCTGGCTCAGACTCTCTGGGTCCTTTGTTATCATTTCTCTCCTGTCCTTTCTAGCTTCTGATGGATCCTTTTCTCTCTATTCCTTTAGTATATTTTATTGCATCCTTTTAATATAATACATATCATAATATAATAAACCAGCCTTCTGAAACGTGGAGTCAAGGTTCTCCTCCCCACACACGGGGAATCCACCACAACGGGGAGCCTGCCAAACCCACAGCGCTGCTTCCACCCAGCCCTGCCCCGAGGTCTGACAGCCCAGCACGTTCCCGGCAGGGGTGATGGACCACAGTGTCCTGAGATGGGTCCCAAACACGTGGCACAAGACGAGGACACCCTGCTGGGTGCTTGGAGAAGGGTCTGGGGGCTTGGCTGTGTCCTCTGATCCCCTTTCAGCCCTCCCTGCAGCAGGGGATGCCTGCCCCTGTCCCCCAGCTCCACCATGGCTCCCCTGGCTGCTCGGGGCTGAGCAGGTCACCCCTGCACCCTGGAGCTCCTGCTCAGCATCTTTGTCCTGTTCTTGGGCCAGCTCCCACCGCCTGAGGGGTTCATCTCCTTGTCAGAGAGTCGCAGGGGCAGGCACGGGGTGCCTGGGGTGATCCCCGCTGTGCTCCACTCACTGTGCCTCACGTTGCAAACCTCACAGAGACAGAGAGCCCAGAGCCCCTGGAAGTGCTGCCAGGGCAAACCTGAGACCCTTCTGAATCCCAGCCTTGCTCCTCTCACAGCCATTCCTGGAGCACAAGCTGCCTGCAGCCACCACTGACAAAAAACAAGGGAGCGCTGCTGCTCTTTCCTGTAGCCCAGCTGCCGGGCCCTGTAACAAACCTCGTGTCTCTGGACAGCCCCAGGACACGGATGCTGCTCACAGCACCCACACATCTCCCCTTCCCTCCACGGCACCTGCCCTGCAGCCCCTGCCCAGAGCAGCGCCGCTCCCCTGCCCCGCTCCGGAGCGCCAGGGAGGCTCCTGCCTGTCTGTGAAGCTCTCGGAGCTGAGATGAGCTAACCCTGCAGCCGCAGCAGCCGGGCAGGGCCGCCTCCCCAGCTCCCCCTGCCAACAACGCTGCCCGGCTCCCCGGGGGCTGTCCCCGGCGCAGCGCTGGGGATGTGGAACACATCACGGCCTGCAGCGGGCAGGGCAGCAGCGCGGCTCGTTAACAATTCATGCGGCAGCCCGCGGGGTCGGGTTTCAGCTGCAGAGCGAGCGCCGGGATCCTTCCCCGGCCGCAAGGATCACTTAGCCGCGCTCCATTAGCATGACAAGAGCGGTGTATTTACTGAAACTGGAGGCTGCACGCTTTTCAGGGCCATAATGCCCATTTTGGCTGCCTTCGTACGTCAGCCCGCGGAAAGGAGAGCAGCCCTAAAGCACTCAGGGCTGCCGAGGTGCATAGTGCTTTTCCAGAAAGGAATCATAAATATGCAACGGATTTATTCACTCTTCCTCTGTGCTAATACCTCACTGTTCCAAACAGGTTACATATCCAGATGGCGAAAAGGGAATCTAACACCAGCGGGACGCCAGCACCTGAATTAATTTATGCTGCCTTTGTGCTGTCATTAAATTAACGGCAATCTAAACACTGACCGTGTCCCTCCCGTGCACTCGCGGAGGTTGGAGGCTCTAGGGGGGCTCGGAGGGCAGCATTCCCTCCACAGGTGCCTTCCTTAGGCTCTCACACCCCGTGCTTCCCCTTGGGAGCCGCGGCTCGGGCACTTAGAAAGTGACACAGAAGGAGCCGTTCGGGAGCTGTTCACACCTTGGCAGGACGCGAGAGCTGAGCCCTGTGCCGCAGGAGAGCAGCAGCAGCAGCCCCGTCCCAGGAGCTGGGAGCCAGCTGAGGCCAGCACAGCCCTGGGGACACCCAGGGTGCAGAGCAAGCTGCCCCTGAAGCTGGAGCACAGCTTAGGTGACACCTAAGAGCAGGGGGACAGAGCCGCCGGGCACGGCCTGTGCCGGGGGCACCTCCGGAGCGCATCGCCCTGGCTAGCACCGCGGCCTTCCCCTCTCCGGGCCGGATTCGTCCTGTCTAACACTTAGGGAGGGCTCGCCGTGGAGGGGTTAGCCCCTCAGGGAGGCCAGCCTGCTCCCGCAGCGCGGAGGGAGCGGTCTGAGCGCCGGGAGCGGGACAGAGCCAGGCAGGCGGTGACTGCCAGCAGCCCGGGAAAGCGCACCAAACTCCAAACCCCGCAGCCGCCCGTGCTTCCCGCCTGCCCCGAGGGCCCCGAGCGCAGGCACAGGCTGCCCAGGGCCGGGGCAGAGGGGCACGGCGAGCCCCAGCCCCCCGCCCCACGGGAGAGCCCCCCGACCCTGACCTGCGAGTGCCCGTTCAGCAGCACCTCCTCGGCAAACCGCACTTTGACCGGGTTGGTTTTCAGCCTGGCCCTCTTCTCCTCGGTCAGGAACGACGACTTGGGGCCGCCCTGGAACGACAGCGGAGTTCGGGCGGGGCAGAGCCCCGGGGCGCGGCTGGGGGCTGCTCGCCCTGCGCCCCTCGCACCCGCCCGGAGCGAGTCCTGGGGGTCCCCTGCGCCCCCAGCCCTGCCCAGCCCTTGGGAGCGGCCCTGCAGCCAGCCCTGGCTGCCCAGCGAGCCGCCACGCGTGTGCGGTGTCCCTGTGCCCGTGTCACCGCTGTCCCCCACGCCCGGAGCCCGCAGAGCGGCTGTGAGCTGCCCGCAGCCGGCCGGCACGGGGAGCGCCTCAGCCAGCTCGGAGAGAGCCTGGCAGCGAGGGACAGAGCCCTGCCCGCTCTGCTGGGCTGCCCGGAGAGCCGCACACAGCCCGGAGAGCCGCCCGCGGCCACCGGGGACGGGACAGCACGGTGCCCTGTCACACCGCCTTGCTGTCACCCGGGCAGGTCCCACCAGGCTCACGCGTTCAGGAACTCTGCACAAGCCCCCATGTGGGTCCCCAAGAGCGGCAGCAGAGCCCCTCGGTGTCCCCCCCGGGAGCTGCCAGGCAGAGCCAAGCTCGCTAGAAGTGCCGTGCCTCCTGCCGCAGCCCGCCCTGCCCTGGGGACACGAGGTGGGGACACCGCACGGGGTCTGGGAGCAGCCCCCGAGCTCTCGGCCCGGCCCGCAGCCTGGCCCCGCACCGCGGCTGCGAGGAGCGCTGCCCGCCCTGCCCGGGATGCCCAGGCCCGCCCGAGGCTCTGCCCAGCCCTCCAGCCCTGCCCCGCGCCCTGGGGGCCGAGCGGGGGCCACTTACGGCCGCGCAGCGCAGGACGGTCAGCAGCAGCTCGTCCCCGGCGTCCCTGCAAAGGCGACAGTCCCCGCGGTCAGCGCGGGCGGCAGCGCGGCCCGGGGACACGGGGACACGGGGACACACCTGATCAGGCTGGCGGCCCGCTCCACGGACAGCCCGTCCACCGCGCTGGAGTTGATGGAGAGCAGCTGGTCCCCCGGCTGCAGCTTGCCGTCGGCCGTGCTGCCTGCGGGGCGCAGCCCAGTGAGGCACGGGCGGCCCCGGCCGGGCACACATCAAAACCCTGCGAGGCCATCCCCCCGAGGCCATCCCCCCGAGGCAATCCCCTCCACCCCTCAACCCCGCACCGCCGGCCCCGCCACTCCCTGGTGTCCCCAAGTGCCACACCTGCACCTGGGGTGTCCCCAGTGGGCTCCCCTTCCCTCCCAGCGCCTGCTGCTTCAGCAACCACAGCTGGCTGGCCAAATAAAAGGGGCAGAAGGACACCACCTGGTGTGTCCCTGCCTGTGTCCCTGTCCCCCACCCGAGCCCCCCTCTGCCCGTGGGGAGCCCTGCAGGATCTGGCTGTCCCCTTGTCACAGCCCAGCACACCGGGAACCAAGCAAGGGCCATGGGCTCCCATCAGGCTGAGAAGGGCAGGATTTTGTGCTTCAGTTTTAGCAAAATATTGATTTCTTCTGATTTGGAGGAAAGAGAAGCGCAGCAGGAAAGAAACCCCACTTCTTACTCCCCACAGCTCTCGGGTGATTTCAGCGTGTTTCACATGGGAAAAGGCATAAAGAGGAGTGGGAGTGACAGAGGTGCATGCCCTGGCCCAGAGCCCAGCCAGCCCCCAAACAGCGGGCTGCCACACTCACACCAACGGGTGAAAACCACGTGGTTTTGTGCACCCATTAAAAAAAACCAAAAAACCAAAAAAAACCCCAAAAAACAAAACAAAACAAAATAACCAACACAAACACAAAAAAAAACCAAAACCAAAAAACAAACAAACAAACAAAAAAAAAAACCAAAACAAAAAAAAAAAAAAAACCTACTAAGAAACAGAATCGGAGTTTTTGAGTTGCACCCATCCCTTGTACAGCTAGAGGAGCTGATCTGCTCGATTTCAGCACTGCCTGCACCCAGCAGCAAACCCCTGAGCCACAGGGCTGGCAGCCCAGGGTCTGCCCAGATCACCGTGCCCACAGCGGAGCAAGATGAAATTCTCTGAGACAACATTAAATTCTCCCTCTGCATTTCAGGTGAAACGCCAGGAAGGCCTTTGCTTTGAGCAGCTCTCTGCATCAGGTGAGCAGAGCTGAGGGAGCCGTGGGGACCCTGACACAGGCTCAGCCTGTGGGGACAGGGACGTGTGGTGGCTGCGTGTGCCGCTGTCACCGCGGCCGTGCCCAGGGCTCACACGCCCCGCAGCACCCCCGAGAGCACAGCCCCTGCCTGAGCCGAGCCCCGACGCTGCTGGGCTCTGCAGGGCACACCTGCCGTGACGGAGGCGATGGTCAGGGGCAGCCCGGGGCAGATCTCGAAGCCGTAGTGCTGCAGCACCAGGTCCTTGTACACCGTCACTGTCACCTTGGCCCGGCCGGGGGGCTGGGCTGGGCTGTCCCCAGCGCTGTCCATCGCTGCCACGCTGCCCCTGGGGACCAGAACACACGGGTAAAGGTCGTGTAAGCACCCTGTGCCCAAAGGATCCACAGCACTCCCTGCTGCCTGGGGGCCGGCTCTGCAGCCAGCAGCGGCTCCCTGGGCTCTGCAGGAGGCTGAGGACATCAGCCTGGGCGTGAGCACAGCTCCCCAGCCCGTGGTCACACAGCAGGACAGGCCCAGGGGTGCCCCAGCACAGGCCATGACTCCACCCAGAGAGCAGCAGCACCTCCACCCAGCGTGGGGACGCACAGCTCTGCGGGATCCACCAGCCCAGGATGGCCACCCTGTGCCCACCCTGTGCCCACTTTGACTCCCAGACCTCAGGGAAGGAAAGCAGCCACGGACCAGGAGCCCTGGTAGTGCAACCTAGTCAAAAATGCGGGCCCCCAAAGAGAAGCTTGAGCCCACCTTCCAGAAGAGCAAGTTTCACAAGGAGCAACGCTGCTATTTCCTCCTCACAAAAGCACAGCAGAGCAAGGCAGCAACATCAGTCCCTGGGAGCCAAGGGGGGTGCTTACAGAGGCTGCTGCCTTTCTTTTTCCGCGTGTGTGCTTCCCAGGAACAGAAACAGCGAGCAGGACGTGCAGGCTGTGCCAGCCCTGCTCACTGGAGCACAGCCTGGTGCTGCCTCTGACCAAGGGTGAGCAGAGTGCTCCCTCCTCAGACCCCACTCACCTGGGTGCGCTGTCCCGAGAGCGATGAAGCCATTTTGCTACCATTTGCTCTATTCTACATGCTTTTCGTGCATGGATTAAGCTAGTCTCCAAATCTCCCATTTACCTGGAGGCGACAGAAATGACAGGAAAAGAGAGTGACAGTGACTGGGGGGTTCCTCTGGACAGCTTTCAGAGTCACCAACACTAACTCACAACCCATCACTAAATAAAACAATATTAATTGTGTTGTCTAACACAGAGAGATCATCTTGTGAAGAGCAGAGCTGTGACAGAGAGTGGCACCTGCTGTGACACTCACACACCCCTGCCCACCCAGCCTCCCCTGCTCGGTGCTTTGGTCACCCTTCCATGGCAGGCAGTGATGTCCCCACTCCTTCCCCAAGGATTTCATGGCTCCATGGGCTTCTTGTGGAGGTGCAAGGGCTGCTGAGCTCCCCAGCCCCACACGAGGCTGAGTGCTCAGTGAAAGCAGGCACTTGGCGTGACACTGACTGCAGACAGCAGTGCATGCTGCACAGCCCAGCAGTGAGCCCTGCAGCCGTGCCCCACTGCCAAACCTCTGAGCTCTGACCCTGGGAACAGCTGTGGGCTGGGCACAGCCCAACACAAGTGAAACAAATTATGCCTCCATCTGCCAGAAGCCGCGAGGAGTACCAGCTCCTTGTGTCTGCAGCCCTAAACTGCTGTATCCACCTTTCACAGCGTGCCTTCTGACCAGCCCAGGAGCTCCACACGTCCTGACCTCCTCCCTCGTGTCTTCTGCTGGGCCTGGACGTGCTGTGCCTCAAGGACTTGCTCTGTCATGCTGGGACAGGGGGCTGCTGCTGCTCCATGGCAGAAATGCTGCTGCAACAGAAATACCAGTGACTAACACAGCACGGATGGCTGGAAACTCAGAAATGAGGAACAAAAAAATGTGTCTCAACAGAAACTGGTCCTCTTCCACCCAGCACCGTCCCAGGTCCTGGAACTTGCCAGCTCACAGTTTCTAACCAAGAAGGGAGGGCAGGACTCACATGTGGTGGTGAGCTCCTCACAGGGAGCCACTGCAGCCTGCTACTCAGCCCTTCAGCAGTTCTGGCACTGGGCACTCTCTGGGCACTTCTGTCCCAACACAAGACAAATCATCCTGGTTCTTCAGGAACACAGCTCCTGAGAGGCACCTCTGAACCACAAACGGGCACCCTGTGATCCACTGTGCCTCCAGAAATCACAGCTGAGGAATGGGAAACGTGACCCCTGCTCAGAGAAATGGGGATCCTGTGATCCACTGTGCCTCCAGAAATCACAGCTGATAGGATGGGAAATGAGACCCCAGCTCAGGGGGTGCCCAGGAAGCGACCAGGGCAGGAGCAGCAGCTCTGCAGCCTGCAGCACACATGCAGATCTCCCCGGGGCAGCCTGAGCTGATGCAGCTCCTGCTGGCCCTGCTTCCCCTCTCTGCTCAGCAGCACAAAGTGCTCTGGCCTTCCCACTGCCCCAAGCACCCCAAGGCTGCTCTGAGCTCAGGGAATGTGCTGCCTGCAGGGGCTGTGCCCCAGGGCTCTGTGCTGGGGTGCCTGGAGCTGCTGCTGCACCCTGACCCTCCTGAGGTGCCTCCTCCCTCTGCAGCTCCAGCCCCCAGCCCTTCCCTCTGCAGGAAGGACAGATTTTCCATCTGGCCTTCACAGGAGAGAATTCCCAGAGAAAGTCTCTGAACCTGTAGGACAAGGAGGAACAGTCTGAAGAATGAGGCCTTCACAGGAGAGAATTCCCAGAGAAAGTCTCAACCGTAGGACAAGGAGGAACAGTCTGAAGAAGGAACACAAACACTAAGAGCTGATGGAACGGAGCCCTGAGGAAAGGAAAGGAGCTGCCCTTCCAGGAAAGTGGTAACTGGAGTGCTTGGCACAAACAGCAGGTGTCCTAGAGGAGGCAGCTGGGCAGGTATTTCCCTAAAGCAATGCACAGCACCAGGAGCAGCTGTCCCCACGGCATCCCCGGGGCACCCTGAGCAGGACAGAGCCACCAAGGCCACCCAGCCGGCTCCTGCCCCAGCCTGGGGTGCCCCAGGGCTCCCTGCTGCCCTTGTGCAGCTATTTCTGAGCCAAGCCCTGAGCCCAGCACTAAGCAGCTTGAGCTGGGGTCCTCCCACACAGAGCTCCTCCAGATTGTTGTTATGAATAAGAAGTTATCTGTTTTTTTTTTAAGGTTGCAGAGTAAAACAAGTTGGACCAGTGCTGTTAAGTTAGCTTCATTGTTAAGAGTTCTTCTTCAATTACCCGTTAATGGTCGGTGATTAACCATTGTGCCCCTGATGCTTGCCAGGGACCCTGCCGGTACCAGGAGAATGGGAGTGGCATCAGAGCCGGTATGCAGATGAGAAATGCATTGCACCCAATTTTGCGGTTTTCCAAGAAAAACTAAAACCCCTGAAATCAACGAGCCGACATAGAACTAGGGGAGCTAGGTGACGTCTAAGGATGGGAGCGCAGTCCCGTACCTGCTTGGATCCTTTTTGCTTCTCACCCTAACCTAAAAAGATGCTGATTAAAGAGACGCCCCAGGGTGTTAGACAAAAAAGCAGGAATCTCCTAATCTCCCGTGAGGACGGAATCCCCAGCTCTGCCTGCAGACCAGGACAAAGCTGCATCCTCCTCCTCCTCCTCCATGCCACACCTGGGTCGATTTCTCCCCACCTGAGCTGATTCTTCTTAATAAAGGCATTAAAAAAGGAGAAAGATCTCCTGCCCGTTTATTGCAATTGTCACAGGGAGCTGTGACTCCACGGGGGTTTTCGTGGCCACCCGCCCTTCTGGAGAGCCACAGCTCAGTGTCTTGAGGAACACCAGGTGGGTTTTCAGGAGTAAGGCAGAGCCAAAGGTCAGGGCAGCCGTGTCAGGACGTGCACAGCACACATCTGACCAGCAGGGAAAGCCAAACCCACTGCCAAGGAGAGCGCTTCAGCATTTCATGGCCAGTATTAATTCACTATCATTCAAAGTATTAATTCACGGGCAAAAGTCTTCCTGGTATTTTTGACATGGCGTGTTTGTTTCCAGGTATTGCCTCCCAGCAGACGTGGCAGCAGGAGCAGCAGTGGGAGCAGCAGCACCCCTGCACCTGCTGACAGAGAAAAGCCTGGTCAGAAGCTGCCACAGGCTGCTGTAAAGCTCTGGGTGCTCTCCACCTGCAGCTCCAGCACAGGGGCTCGTGGCAGCGCTCCTTGTGGTGTTTGCCATCAGCAGGGAGCTGGGTGGGCTCTGGCTGGGGGAGGAAGGAACCCAGAGCAGCCCTGGGAGACGGACTTGGGGTGCTGGTGGGTGAGAACTGGCCCTGCCCTGGCCGTGTGTGCTGGGACCCGGAAACCCCCCTGTGCTGGCCTGGCCCCAGCGTGGGCTCACGTGAGACCCCACCTGCAGAGCTGCCCAGCCTGGGGAACAGCACAGGAAGGATGTGGAGCTGCTGCAGCCAGGCCAGAGCAGGCATCCTGTTTGATCAGGAGTCTGGAACAGCCTCTGCTATAAGGAAAGGCTGAGAGAGTTGGCATTCATAAGGCTGGAGAAAAGAAGGCTTTGGGTGACCTTAGAGCCCCTTCCAGCACCTACAGGGAGCTCAGGAGAAAGATGGGACAGATTTTTAGCAGGGCCTGTAACGACAGGTCAAGGGATGAAGGGTTAAAAGTAAAAGAGGCAGATTGAGACTACATAAAAGCAAAAACCAATGCACAATGAGGTGGGGAGGCACAGGGTGCCCAGAGCAGCTGTGGCAGTGCCCAAGGACAGGCTGGATGGAGTTTGGAGCAGCTGGGCCAGTGGAATTTGTCCCTTCCCATGGCAGGGTGTTGGGTTAGATGCCTTTAAAGGTCCCTAGCACCCCAAGCCACGCTGTGGCCCCGTGGTGTTGTGTCTCTGTGGCACATCCTCACACCGTGCAGCTCCAGTGAGGCAGGGCTGGTCCCTGCCCAGGCCAGCCCAGCTCAGCAGGCATGGTCTGCTCCTGCCCAGAGGCTCAGCACATCCCCGTGGCCCCGGGCAGGAGAGGGAAACTGAGCTGCTTCCTGCCCAGCGTGGCCCTGAGCTGCACCAGAAGATCTTCTGGCACGGGCGAGCGTCTCTGCAGCACAGCTCTTGAAGGTCAGCCAGGGCTGCTGAGACACGAGCACGGAGCACTCACCCACCCATTTCCCACAGAGCTCCTCAAGATGCTCCTGGACACGCAGCCAGGGAGGCAGCTGAGCCAAAGGAGCGGGGTCAGAGCTCCTGGCACTCTGTGCTCCCACCACACTGGCCGTGCGTGTGCAGGGAGCGAAATTACTGCAAAAAGATAATTTTAAAAGGAAAACAGAACAAAACCCCACAGTGTGGCCATCCTGCCTCACCAGCCTGTGACACCTGCCTGGTTTGTGAGGAGAGCAGCTGCCCCCAGGGGCCCCTGGCCCTCCCTGGCTCACAGAGGGAGCCTGTGCTGTGCCACAAACCCGTGGTGCTCAGCGCTTCTGGGTGACACCAGGCAAAGAACACACACCAGCACCACCGCCCCCAGAAACAAAATTTTTTTAAAAGCACTGTTGCTTTGTAATGCTACAAAGCAGATTTGAGAATCAGATTTTTGCCTATAAACAAATGCTACCAGGAAAAAAACAAATAAACAACAACAAAAAAAAAAACTGAAACAAGCAAAGAAACCCTACAATTAAAAAACCAAAAAAACCCCAAAAAACAAAAGCCAAAACAAAACAACAACAAAAATAATAAAGAAAAAAATAAAACCAAACACCAAAGAACCCCCAGCAAAACAAAAAAACCTCAACCACATAAAAAACCCCCTACAACTACCCCCATGCTCCATCCAGCTGCTGTAAACCAAGGAAAGACAGCAAGAGAATTTGGCCCTTGTCAGCCCAGGGAGGGCAGGAGAGGTTCTGCACATGTCTCCTCTCCCAGCTGGCAGCGGTGAGGTTTGACACAGACACACTCTGGTCCCCAAGGAGCAGAATGAGCTCTACAGTATGAGTTTCTGGGCACACAGAGGCCTCAGGCGCCAAGCAGAGGTGGTTTCAGCAAAGCCACCCTGGGCTGGCTGGGGCACGAGGGGAGGAGCAGGCACAGCTCTGTGCAGGGTGCACACAAACTGAAGGAGACGATAAACAGAACCTTCAAGGTGGAAAGGAGGGAAATCAATACTTCCCTCTTGGGTAGCTTTCACTCCTAAAAATAGCCGGGTGTGGAAGCGTGTGAAGACTTTCCCCCTCCAGCTGCATCTCTCTGGGCAGGAGCTCCAGCACAGAGGGAATGTTTGCTCCTGCTCCCCCCACCCACGGCTCCTTGTCGGGGTGGGGAGCAGAGCTGCCTCCCAGCACCTGGATGGATCCTCCCCCGTGCCCTGCACTCACAACACCAGAGCCAAGCTGCTCTCAGGGGCACTGTCATGGCACTGGCACGCTGCACGGCAGGGAAAAACAGCCAACAAAAGAACCACACCACTCCCAAAAAAAGGTTCTGTGCAGAGCTCTGTCCTGGTCTCCGTGAACTGGAACCAGCCTGTGCAGCCCAGCACTCTGGGGTATCCCCATGGCCTTCCTGGGACTCTCCACAGAGGAAAAAACTCCAGAGCAGCTCCTCCACATCTGCCAGCTGAGATCTCAACACGTGCTGGAAGCAGCTCTGGCATGGCCTTTTGGCAAATGTCAGAAAGGAAGGACAGGACAAAAGGGAAGATGCCTGCCTTTAAGAGATATTGATCCAGGAGTGTCAGGCCACACACAGAGCCATGTCAGAGGAGCCCAGAGCTTTGCCCAGCTCTGGAAAGACAGGCTGTGCACAGAGAGAGAGCCCAGAGCACTGAACAGCACCAAGCACCTGCCTGACAGCAGATTGCTCAGCAAGAATTCAGAGGGTAATTCACTAAACCTTCTGGGAGTGAGCCCAGCACAAATTGCCCAGCAGCACACACGGAAACCTGTGCCACCTGCCTGCTCCTGGTGGCAGAACCGGGCGGGCAGAGAGGCCACGGGCTGGGCAGAGGGTTTGCCATGCCCCTGCTCTCAATCCCGTGCCCTTCCCACCCGGTGTGGCCCCATCAGCCTGGCCAGGGCAAGGCACAGATGGGGGAATGAGGCAAGTGCCTCTCCAGCCAGGAATTGAAGCAGGGGGGATTACTTGCTGCCTGCAGACCTCCAGAATTCCTGTCTTTTCCAGCCTGGATTTTTCTCAGGTTGTACATCACTTCTCCCAGCATCTGTCTCTCTGCCTTGCTGAGAGATCCCCACTTGGGAGCAAGAACAGAATCACAGAAAGAGATAAAGTGCAGGAAATGCTTCCCTGAGGGCTTCCTATCCCACAAGATTGCCATTTCTGCCTCTGAATCTGCAGAATCTCCTGGGTCAGCAAGGAGAATCCCCTGGGAGGAGAGCTCCGTGTCTAATGGAGAGCTAACATTTCCCATTTTACAGCCCCCTCAGACCACTCAGACTTATCTCACACATCCCACTGGCTCCCTAAGTCTCACCCAGACCCGGCTGGGAGGAGAAACGCCAGGAAACTTCCCAGGAGTGGAGCAGACACACCTGCAGCAGGGAGCTGCGAGCTCGTCAGTGAAAACCCGCGATGCTCGGCAGATGCGGAGCGCCAAACACAGCGGGGCAGGCGAGATCGCAGTGCCGGGGAGCCGTGCAGACGGAGCAAGCCGGCTTGGGGCAGCGGCAGTGCCCGTGTGAGCCCCTCCGGAGCCCCGCGCCCCCGCTCCAGCCCGGCATCCCCCCGCTGCCCCTGCCTCCCGCTCCCGGCTCAGGCGAAACTCCTCTCGCAGCCTCAGCGGCCGAAACCCCCGGCTGCGAATTGCACAGCCGAGACCCGCGGGAGGGTTTCTGTCCGCGAGTTTTGCTGTTGGAGAGCGCGGCGCGCCCGTGCGCGGCTGCCTCGCCCCGGCAAGGAACCCTACCCACGGCGTTTGGGGCGAGATCGGGCAGAAAGCGCTAAATCCTCACGCCGGAGCCGGCAGACGCGCGGAGGGAGCGGGGCCCCGGCGAGCCCGGAGCAGCCCCGCGCCCATCCCCAGGGTCCCGTTACCTGCGGCCGGGAGCGCAGCGCTGCCGCGCCCGCGGGGCACCGGCGGCTTCTCAATGACCGCGGCGGCCGAGCCCCGCACCCGCCCCGCTGGGCTCGGCCCCGCACCGCCCGGGGTCCCCCGGCCCGAGAGCCCCGCTCGGGAGCGGCTGAGGGCAGCAGGGACCCACGCACGGCTGTCCCCGTGCCCCCTGCCCTGCCCCTCCGCCCTGCTGTCCCCAAAGCCCACCGCTGCCCGAACTGTCCTGCGCTCCGTGCCTGCTCGGAAGCATTGGACTGCCCTGTGCAGCCCCGAGCGCTCCTGCCCGTGCCCCACGGCTCGCCCCGTGCCCTGCTGATGCTCCCAGGCGTGCTTAGGGGCTGGCCTCTGCTGGCAGGTGTCACCTCTGGACAGGGGCTGAGTCTCTCGGGGACAGCTGTGCACGGGTCCTCGCTCCGAGCCCCCGATTTGTGTCCCCGGGCTGTCCCCCCCTGTCCCCCCGGCTGCTGCTCCGGAGGAGCCAAGGACAGCCGGACAGCGCCGGGGCACGGCGAGCCACGTCCCCGGCTCTGCCTCGCTGGCCTGGCACTGCGCTGGCCCCAAGGTGCCCGCGCAGCGAGCGCCGCAGAGGCACGGAGCGGCATCGATCGGCTGGGCTGCGCCCGCGCCCCCCGGCCCCTCGCAGCCTGCCTGCACTGCGGGCCCGCCCTGCCCCTCTCCCAGCTCCCAAAACAGCTCCCCCGCAGCAAGCGGGGTTATTTTTCTCTCCTGCTGACGTGGGAACTAAGTTTGGCACCTTTCACAAACAGTACTGCCCTGTGGTCGCTGAAATTGACAATAAAAAAGGAGAGGTTGAGGCCTGAGATCTGAAATTAATGCAACATTAAACAGCGCTCAGAAAAGGGCTTTGCATCAGTTGCTGATTCATGCAGCTTCCCTGGGAAACGTGCATCACATCTCCTTTCCCATGTGGCCCTGGCTGATGTTTTCAAAGCAATCCACACAGGAAGCAGATGCTTAATTAAAAAAGAAATGAAGCCCTGGTTGTTTGTCCTGGGGTGAATGCTGGTACCCGCTAACAGGAGACATCTCAAGTCCATGCTATGAAACGTGAAATTTGGGCCTGTGTGGGGTGGAGCTGGGCACATGGTCTCCTTCCCTCCGAGCAGCTGCAGTTCCAGAGGCGTGGGGAACAATAACTCCAAAAGTTACGGGACACTTTGTCTCCAAGCAGCATTCATCACCGCTCACGGCTGGATCCAGGCACAGCCAGCCTGTGAGAACCTTCTGTGCTGGGAAACACTTCAGGACTACTTGGACAGTCACAGCTTGTGGCTGCTGACACGCCAAGCTCTGCCCACGAAGGGTGAAACCCCTCTCAGTGGGGCCCGTGGACCCCCTCAGCTCCACCTGCTGCAATCCAGATGATGCCTCTGGAATGACTGGGATTAAGGACCTGGAAGGGATTAAGGACCTGGAAGGGATTAAGGACCTGGAAAACTCCCACGAAGGGTGAAACCCCTCTCAGTGGGGCCCGTGGACCCCCTCAGCTCCACCTGCTGCAATCCAGATGATGCCTCTGGAATGACTGGGATTAGGGACCTGGAAAACGCTGCAGAAGCACAGCTAAGGCGTTGTGAAGGAGGAAATCCCTTCAGATTTCACAGCAGAAGAGCAGACCTTCCAAAGGGTCGGCCAGCCCCTCTGGAGCTCCTCTGCAGAGGGGCCAGGGCTCCCTGGCCGTGCTCCAGTGCCTCTGTGCTCAGGGTTTGGTGCAGGGGCCCCTCAGGACCAGCCCCAGCTCCTGTGCTGCCACGGGTGAGGCTGCAGACAGGGAGCACCCTCGCCCTCCTCTGCCCTGCCTGAGGGGTTCTGGCTCTCCCCATCACCAAGGTCAGCACACAGAGCTGCTGGGGACTCCAGAAGTCTCGTTCATCCTCGGTGCTGGTGCAGAGGCTGCTGTGGTTACAGGTCGCAGTGTCTGCGGGCTCACATTTCCTCTGGTCTCTGTCCCTCCCTGGAGCACAGGAAAACGGGTGAGAAGTCTGAAATACTTCCCTTGAGGCCTTGGCACTGCTTTACAGCATCCTCTTTGATTGCCTGCTGAAGCTTCTGGGGGCTCTGGCTCCACCACCTGAGGGTCCACAGCAGTGGGTGCAGCTCCACAGGGCCACACACATCTCTGCCAAGAGAAGAGGGAACAGCAGGAAGAGGAACTTTCCCCTGGAGTGCCGGGAGTGCTGAGGAGCCCTTGGGATGGCACAGCCCCCAGACACAGCAGGACAGGACAGTCTGAGGCGTGGCAAAACCTGCTGGGGTGCTGAGGACACCCCTGGGATGCCCCAGCTGAGAGTTTATAGGTGCATTCAAACTGTCTGGCTCCAGGCCAGCACATTCCAGGGTGGCTGGTCCAATGACACGACCGTCACTCCCAGACACCAGAGCCTGGGAACGGTGCCTTTGGCGACGAAAAGTTCATCTGTACCCCCCAGGGGAGCCCCAAGCCTCGGGGGAACCCCAGCCCCACAGGGCTGGGGGGCACCAGCCTCTGCTGAGCACCCCCAGACGCAGAGGCCCAGCCAGGGGCGCAGGGGAGGAACGGCCAGGACTGCAGAGGGCTCGCTGCAGGACGAGGCAGGAACAGAGAGCAGGAAAATTCGGGCACGGATGGGGTCTGGGGAGGCTGAGGGGCCAGGCAGGGGCAGGGCAGGGCACAGGCTCAGCCCTGCCCGTGTGGCAGTGCCCTGAATGGGGTCTGAGCTGTCTGTGCTGCCCCTGAGCCCCTCTCACAGGGTGATGTCCCCATGGTGGTGTCAGAGAGGGGAGCAGGCGGGCTGCTGGCGCTGCTGTGTCCGTGTGAGCACCCAGGGGTGTGTGCAGTGTGGGCAGCCAGCTGTGGGGAGCAGGGGGGCTGCAGGGGGCCTTCTGTGAGAAGCTGCTGGAAGCTTCTTCCCCCGTGTCCCGTGGGGCCAATGCCACTGGCTCCAGGGCCAAGGCTGAGCCCACCAGTGCCACTGGCACCTTTGGGACATCAGAGCTAAGAAGGAAGTGGATTCACGGGGGTATTGGAGAGAAGGGAGGAGTGAGAACACGTGAGAGACAGAGCCCTGCAGAGCCCCCCGGCAGTGCAGCAGGAGGGGAGGCACTCCAGGGGCTGGAGCTGAGGTGTGCCAGCCGCCTGAGGAGCTGCAGAGCAGGGCACAGCCCGCCCTGCAGTGCTGCAGGGCCCCACACCGGAGCACAGGGATGCCCCGAGGAGGCTGTGGTGCTGGTGAGCCTGCTTTGCCCACGGCAGTCTCTGCTCAGCAATCCCTGCCTGACCTCATCCCGACCCACCAGGCTGCTGCTGTGCCTCCTCTCTCCTGCCACCCGAGGAGGGAGTGGCAGAGTGGCTCTGGGGACACACGGCGCCCAGCCCCCGTGTGCAGGAGCCCTGTGATGTGTGGCTCTCTGGCCACCCCTGCCCGGGGCTGGATGCCCCATCCTGGGCAGCCTGGAGCCCGGCAGAGCAGCAGAGGAGGCAGGAGCACTGCCACAGCCCTCCCTGCTGGCCCGGGGTGCTGCCAGGCTCCTTGCAGCCCTGGGCAGCAGCTGCCTCAGCCCAGAGCCATGCTGGCACAGTGGGACAGGCCAGGGGCAGCAGCAGAGCCCCGGTGATCCTGGAGGATCCAAGGAAAGCCCCTGCTCTGCCCCTCTGACACAGCTCTGCTCCAGTCTGAGGAGTGGAGGTCCCTGGGGCTCCTCCACACCTCCCCAGAGGATGCAAAGGGGCCAGGCCAGGCTGGCACTGCCTTTTCCAGGAGGAAGGCATGCTGTCCTTCCTGCTGTCCCGTGAGCCATCCCCATGATGCAGGAGTGGAGAAACACCACTGGACAGCACCTGCAGGCCACCCCACAGAAGGTTTTTATTGAGGAGAATGCATCCACGGAAGGGAAGGGAAGGGAAGGGAAGGTTAATAATTTTGGGGAAATGACAATCCTATGTATGCTTGTTCCAGGAAAATAAATGAGTATGTCTGTGAAATATATACTCTAAACAGGAGCCCTTCCTGTGCTGCACAGTATTCCAGAGGAGATGTCCCCTCATGCATCTAAGCAAATAAAGAAAGGCAGGTTGTTAAAGCTCCACTGCTATTTGGGATTTGCTCAACTGGTTTTGGCAGCACCATGGCCAAACAGCTGTGGTGCAGTGTGTGGTCACACACAGAGCACCAGCAGTGCTGGTCACACACAGAGCTGCTGCCTCCTCACTGCACTGGCACAACATCTGCAGGTCTCTGCAATCCTTTTTCACATTCCTGACCCTTCTTCCAACCCTTGTCCTTCTCTGTCTGCTCAGGCTCCTCCCAGAGGAACAGACAGCCTGTAACCATTTTTCCCCATTGCTATGGAAGCCTTGTGAAGGCTGACCTCGAGCAGAGGCTGGACAGAGGTACAGGATAAAGCAGGGATTTATTAAAAGGATCTCCTCCATGGACCCACACAAGAGCCCAGCCAGGGCTGCACCAAGGTGAACCAAAATGGCCACAAAATGAACCCAAGGTGAATCAAAATGGCACAAAATGAACCCCAGATGAACTAAAATGGCCACAAAATCAACCCAAGATGAACCAAAATGGTACAAAATGAACCCACGATTAATCCCAAATGGTCACAAAATGCAGAACCGGTCACGGGGTCTCTCACTTTCATCAGTTCTGCTCCAATTGCACATTGGAGTTAATTGTCTAATTATAACTAGGTTTTTAAGTCCCATTGTGTTTGTTTTTCTCTCTGCAGCCCATGGTGTTTGTGCTCCTGGGCTGAGATTGGGATCATTTGTCCTTGGTGTCCAGCTGGAGCAGGAATTGTTTTGTCTCCCTGCTCTGTGCACAGAGCTCACCATCCCCTAATGTGAGCCCAGACCCTGAGAAATCAGCACAGAACCTGAAAAATACAGAAGCAAAACCTGAGGCATCGCTATCATGGTTTTTTTTTAAGATCTGTGTCTAATTCAGTGTTTCTGACAGCTTTACCTTGGTATTATCTGAGCATTATGACACAGCTGCTGAGGAGTTGCTGGCACAAACATCCCAAGGACAGCTCAGGACAGTGTCCAACCCAAAGCCAAGGCCTTCTCTGCCTTGCCAGTCACTCCACACCTGAGCTCTGTGGCCTGTCCATGGGAACACCTCACAGGGGAAATGTTTCTCATCCCCCCATGATGACGAGCAGAATGGGGTGGCTCCAGTGGAACAGCTCGTGGCCAGACCTCCCCAGTGCCTGTCCTGGCAGAGCCCCCCCTGCACTGCTCCCTAGGAGCACTTTCGTGCCCTCCTTGCTCCAGGCTCTGCTCGATCCTGTGTCGTGTTTCGCTCAGCTTTGCCCCAGTGTGCTCACATGCCTCATCTCCTCCTGAGCAGTGCTCTGGAAAGCAGCCCCGAGTGCCAACAGCAGGCGAGACTGGAGGAACAGCAGGCACAAACTGCACGGTGGGACTCCTCGGTGCTCTGCCCAAGCGGGGGCTGGCAGTCTGTTCCTGCTGGCAGAGAGCAGAGGGAGCCACCAGCCAGCAAACAATGAGCTGTCCTGGGGCTGGCACGGCCAGGTGTGTGCCAGCAGGGGAGCTGTGCTGTGCTGTCCCCGGGACGCTGCTCTGGGCAGGGCAGGGCTGCCTCTGCTGCGCGGGGACAGGCTCCCCTGGCTGCCAGCAGCACTGGGATCGAGCGTCCTGGGCCTGATGGGGAGCACTGGGAACGCTGCTGCTGCCTGTGGGAGCTCTGGGAGCTCCTTTGGGGCTTTGGGAACACTGCTCCCCTCCTGCCACTGCTGGCTGGGGGAGCTTTGGGTCTTGCTCAGGCAACCCCTTGTGCGGGGACACGAGGCTTGACTCCATTTTGCTCAGAAGGCTGATTTATTATGTTACATATTATATTACATACTACACTAAAACTACACTAAAAGAACAGAGAGAGAAAGATCAGAAGGCTACAAAGAACAAGAATGGAATGGAATGGAATGGAATAGAATAGAATAGAATAGAATAGAATAGAATAGAATAGAATAGAATAGAATAGAATAGAATAGAATAGAATAGAATGCATCACAAAATCCTGTGCCTGCTCACAGCCTGGGCACAGGTGGCTGTGGTTGGTCACCAATTCAAAACAATCCACAAGGACCAGTGGAAGATGCACCTGTGGCATTCCACAGCAGCACACAGTTATTGTTTGCATTTCTTTCCTGAGGCTCTCAGCTCCTCAGGACGGGGAAAATCAGAGCAGAGGATTTTTCATAAAATAGCATGGCTACAATACACCAATAAAGACTGTCAAGGGTGGAAAGCAGCTTCAGTGAACTAATAAATCTGAAGAAATGCAAAACTGACAGGGAGCATTCTCGAGGGGAGGAGGCTCGGGGAGAAATGGCATCTAATGAGAGGAGAAGTGGGGAAAGGTCTGGGAGAAGGGCAGGGGCAAAAGGAACAGCACAAGGAAATTACAAAACTACAAATGAAACAGTAACCATACTAATGAAACAAGAACCGCCTCACAACACTGTGCCAGCTCAGCAGCCCTGCACAGGGAGCTGCTCTATGGAGCCATGCAACCTCTTTATTACAATTAAATGCCCATTTTATCTTCAATACCTACCACCAAAAGCAAACAGCAACTCAAAGGGACTGTTTAAAGCACAATCCTCACTGCAGTGGTATTTACTTTGATGCTGCAAGACTGTGTAATTACTGCTTCATTTTTTAAATTGTTAATTGTCATATTTTTCTTTATCTTTTAATAAAAAGGGTGAAATGTTGCGTTGTTTTAAGTGGTATGCTCTGTCTCACTCCTGGAAAATGTACGGATTACTCCAAGCTGTGATCCTCCCCTGAAGTCCCAGGTAGCACTAATTACATTAATTACCCACGACCTGGGCAAGCTGCAGCAGACAACACCAGAGCCTTGGTTTGATGAAATGTGTCTGTGGTCCTTGCTTTGTGTGAGGGGATGGGGACGAGGGAAGAGAGGAGAATCCTGACTCCGTGTTTCAGAGGGCTGGTTATTATATTATGATATATATTATATTAAATGCTATATTAAGACTATAGTAAAAGATCAGAGAGAGAAAGGATCCATCAGAGGGCTGGAAATGACAGGAGAGGAATGGTAACAAAAGCTGCTGACTCCCAGAGCCTGATGCAGCTGCATCTTTGGTTGGTTATTAATTAGAAACAACCAACATGCACCAATCCCAGGTGCACCTGCTGGTAAACAATGTCCAGACCACATTCCACAGCCATCAGATTGTTAATTGTTTACATTTCTTTTCTGAGGCTTCTAGCTAGGATAAGAGAAAAACCCTAGCAAAGGATTTTTCATAAGATGTCATGGCTACAGGTGTCAGTGGTGAAGGGGTTGGATACTCAGCACGCTGCAGTTGTGGAACACACTGAGCACTGGGTTTGCACAGCTGAAATGAATACTCACTGTCTCTCTCCAGTGTGTAACTTCTGATCTGTCCCCTCACGCCCGGCCGGAAGTGACGCCGTCTCCGCGCGCCAGCTCGGCGCGCATCCTGCCACGTGTTTCCGCCGCGCGTGGCCGCCAGCGGCGCCGGGGCCGGGACCGGATCGGGACCGGATCGGTGATCGGGGCCGGGACCGGGACCGGGATCAGGCCGGGATCGGAGCCGGGACCGGGACCAGGCCGGGATCGGATCGGATCGGGATCGGGATCGGTATCCAGGTGCGCCCCGCCATGTTCCGCATCGAGGGGCTGGGGCCCAAGATGGACCGGGAATGGAGCCCCAGGAGAGGCTGAGGGAGCCGGGAAGGGAATGGAGCCCAGGAGGGGCTGAGGGAGCTGGGAAGGGAATGGAGCCCAGGAGAGGCTGAGGGAGCTGGGGAGGGAATGGAGCCCAGGAGAGGCTGAGGGAGCTGGGGAGGGGCTGAGCCTGGAGCAAAGGAGGCTCAGGGGGCACCCTGTGGCTCTGCCTGACAGCAGCTCCCTGACAATGCTGCCAGATGAAGAATGGATTGCACCTGGTGGGTGAACACAATGATCATTCAGCGAAGTCGTTAGACTGTGCAAGGGCTCAATCAGAAGTACAATAAACATTAACCACGGAAAGGAATGAGAAAGTACACCCCACTGATTCCAGGCCTCAGGAATTAGTGAGCTCTGCCAGCTCTGCCAGCCTGTCTCCCAGCGAAGGAATGAGAAAGTACACCCCACTGATTCCAGGCCTCAGGAATTAGTGAGCTCTGCCAGCCTGTCTCCTAGCAGGGCACAGCAGCACCAGTTCAGAGTGCTCAGACACAGCTGGGGGCACTGGCCATGAGTGCCACAGACACCCCCGGGACAGGAGCACAGCTGTGCTGGTGGAGGCAATGTGGTGATGACTTGAGGGCAATAAATGGTCACCACAGAGCCTGTGAGCACTCCTGTACAGCAGCCTGGGAACGGGAGCCTTCTCTGTGCTCCCAGCACTGGAGAGGAGACAGCTGGGTGAGGAGTGCCTGCTGCTCACTGCTGCACTGCTGCCAGGGAGGTTTGTTCCCACTGATTTCATTCCTAACAGGCTGTGCTCCCAGGAACAGGGACAGGAGCAGAGGGAACGGCCTCAGGCTGGGCCAGGGCAGGCTCAGGGTGGGCACAGCAGGAATTTCCCCATGGAAAGGGGGCTCAGGAACTGCCCTGGCACTGCCCAGGGGGGTCTGGAGTGCCCATCCCTGCAGGTGGCACTCAGAGCCCTGGGCTGGGGACACGGGGTGGGCTGGGAGGGATTTTGCAAGCTGGATGAGTCTGAGGGAGCTGTGGCCATCAGGGAATGCTGTGCTGGGGTCACCGTGCCCAGTGACACCCCGGGACACGCCACAGCCAGGTCAGCTGAGGGACAGGTGACACCATCCTGTCCCCACGGAGTGCAGGCCCTGCCCCATCCCTGCCCCCAGTGCAGCTGTGGTGGCACTGGGAAGGCACTGGGAGCTGGTGGGATATACTGGGATTGGGCTCTGGGCCACGAAAACACCATCCTGGAGTCCTGGATCACACTCAAAGTCCTGGACAGGGCACAAGGCTGTACTGGGAGACACTGGTCCATACTGGACAGCAGAGGTTTGGCCTCTGCCAGCAGCAACAGTGACCAAATTACTGCAAAAGTAGGGAAAAAAGTATGAAAGAACAAGGGAAAACGGCAAAAACAGGGCTCAAATGTGCAAGAAGTGGTGAGAAAACCAGTGAAAATGGAGAAACTACCACAGTGAAATGGTGAAATGTGGCAGAAACCAGCAGTTTGGGCACACCCAGCACCATCCCAGTGCTCCCAGTACCATACTGGCCTGCACCACAGCTCTGCTGGCACAATCCCAGTACAAACTACCACAGTCCCACTATGTGCCCAGTGCTTCCAAGACACCACCAGCACCATGCCAGGGTACCATACTGGCCTGCACCACAGCTCTGCTGGCACAATCCCAGTACAAACTACCACAGTCCCAGTATGTGCCCAGTGCTTCCAAGATACCACCAGCACCGTGCCAGTGAGCCTCAGCTCTTCAGGCAGGATCCCAGTACGGCCCCAGTGCTCCCAGTATGCACCAGCATGACCTACAGTCACATCCAGATCCTGGAACGATCCCCAGTGCTCCCACTATGCACCAGTGCTTCCAGCAGAGAGCAGCCTCAGGCTGCAGCTCTCCCCATGCAGGCCACAGGTATATTCCCAGTGTTCCCAGTACAGCTCCCAGTATGGGTCCTGGTCCCAGCACAGGCCCCACAGCTCCCAGTGCTCCCACTGCAGGTCCCAAGGGCACTCCCAGTACAGATTTCACTGCACTCCCAGTGCTCCCAGCACAGCCCAACAAACGTTTTTTAGTTCACCCCAACGCAGTTCTGCCTTGGGCTGAGTCCCCACAGCCTCAGAATTCCCCCCAGAAGCGATGTCACCATCCTGCCATTGCCTTTATTGGTGGGTGGCGCCGGGGGTCACAAGATCAGGCCCCCCCCAGTGAACTCCATTCGCTGCCAAGAGAGGGGAGACAGCAGGGGGTGAGTGGGGGCCCAGGGGTCTGACCCGGGACCCCTGACCCTGCAGGGTGACCCCAGGACCCCTGACTCTCCAGGGTGACTGACCCCAGGACCCCTGTCCCTGCAGGGTGACCCCTGACCCTGTGGAATGTCTGACCCAGGACCCCCGACCCCGCGGGGTGTCCCCAGGACCCCTGACTCTTCAGGATGACCCCTGACCTGTGGAATGTCTGACCCAGGACCCCTGACCCCGCGGGGTGTCCCCGGGGCCCCGGCTCACCTGCGGGGGGGTGACAAAGGCCAGCCAGTCGGAAGGGCGGGTGGGCAGCAGCCCCATGGCCTGGCACTTGTAGAGGGCCAGTGCCAGCCCCAGCCCGTTGCCCACCAGGAACACCAGGCCCTGCAGGGCCCGCCGGCTGGAGCTCTCCAGGGCCTTCAGAGCTGGGGGGACACGGGAGCGGGGTGCCTGTCACTGCCCCCAGGCCCTGAGCTGGCACAGGGCTCGGGGGGTGGGCAGTGCTGGGCAGAGGGAATGATGCAGGGCTCTGGGAGACATCTGGCCATCCAGGGGTCTGTGGGACACCCAGGGGGCTGAGGGGACATCCAGGGGGGCTATGGGACACCATGGGAACTGTGGGGACACCCAGGGGACTGTGGGACACCCAAGGGGCTGAGGAGACACCCAGGGGACTGTGGGGACACCCAGGGGACTGTGGGACACCCAAGGGGCTGAGGGGACACCCAGGGGACTGTGGGGACACCCAAGGGACTGTGGGACACCCAGGGGCTCTGAGAGGACACCCGAGGAACTGAAAGACACCCAGAGAACTATGGGGACATCCAAGGGGCTGAGGCACACCCAGAGGACTGAGGGGACACCCAGGGGGCTGAGGGACATCCAGGGGGCCTGTGGGGACACCATGGGGGCTGCAGGACACCCATGGGACTGTGGGGACACCCACGGGGGCTATGGGACACCATGGAGACTGTGGGGACATCCAGGGGTCTGAGGGGACACCCAGGGGGCTGTGGGACACCCACAGGACTGCAGGGACACCACAGGGGGCTGAAGGACACCATGGGGACTGTGGGGACACTCAGGGGGCTGAGGGGACACGCAGGGAACTGAAGGACACCCAGAGAACTATGGGGACATCCAAGGGGCTGAGGGACACCCAGGGGACTGTGGGACACCCAGGGGGCTGTGGGACACCCACAGGACTGCAGGGACACCACAGGGACTGTGGGGACACTCAGGGAACTGTGGAGACACCCAGGGGGTTAAGGAACACCTAAGGGGCTGTGGGGACACCCAAGGGGCTGAGAGACACCCAGGGGGCTGAGGGACATCCAGAGAGCTGTGGCATCACCCAGGGGACTGCAGGACACCATGGGGGCTGCGTGACACCCTGGGGACTCTGGGGACATCCAGGAGGCTGTGGGACACACAGGGGAGCTGTTTGTGGGACACCATGGGGAGTATGGGACACTCAGGGAACTGTGGGGACATCCATGGGGCTGTGGGGACAGTGTGGGGACTGTGTAACACTCAGGGGGCTGTGGGACACCCAGGGGGCTGTGGGGACATCCAGGGGGCTGTGGGGACACGCAGGGGGCTGAGAGACACCATGGGGGCTGAGGGGACATCCAGAGAGCTGTGGCATCACCCAGGGGACTGCAGGACACCATGGGGGACTGTGGGACACCCAGGGGACAGCAGGACACCCAGGGGGCTGTGGGGACACCCTGGGGACTGTGGGGACACGCAGGGGGCTGTGGGACACCATGGGGGGCTGTGGGGACACCCAGGGGACTGAGGGACACCCTGGGGACTGTGGGACACCATGGGGGGCTGTGGGACACCATGGGGGGCTGTGGGGACACCCAGGGGACTGAGGGACACCCTGGGGACTGTGGGGACACCCAGGGAACTGTGGGAATACCCAGGGGACTGTGGGGACACCCAAGGGGCTGAGGGACACCCAGGGGGCTGTGGAACACTCAGGGGGCTGTGGGACACCCAGGGGGCTGTGGGGACATCCAGGGGACTGAGGGACACCCAGGGAACGGCAGGACACGCAGGGGGCTGTGGGACACGCAGGGGGCTGTGGGGACACGCAGGGGGCCGTCCCTGCGGGGCTGTCCCCCCTCCCGCAACCACCGCGCATGCGCGGCCAGGCGCGCCAGCCCCGCCCCGCGCACCTCGTACAGCCCAACACCGCTTCCCTATTGGTCGCGGTCACACAAGCCCCGCCCAGGAAGGCATGGGGGGGGCTGCGGGTGGCGCCGCCATGCTCGGAAGGTCACAGCGGGGCATCAGCGCCATTTCACCAGCGGCGCCGCCATCTTGGGTGTACCGGGAACGTGTGGGCGCGCCGCCATCTTGGGTGTACCGGGGATGGTCGCCGCCATCTTGGGTGTACCAGCACACGTGGGGCGCGCCGCCATGTTGGGTGTACGGGGGATGGTCGCCGCCATCTTGGGCGTACCAGCACACGTGTGGCACCACGGAGCTGCCATGTTGCATGTACCAGCACACGTGTAGCACCCTGGGGCCGCCGTGTTGGGTGCACCAGCACAGGTGACGCACCTAGGAGCCGCCATGGTGGGTGTCCTGCCTGGCCCGTGCCCACACCGTGTCCCTCCATCCCCGCCCCGGGGTCTCAGGAGCCAGCAGGTCCCCAGCGGTGTCCCCGTGTGTGCCCCCTCGGGAGACGCGTGGCACAGCATGGACTCGGGAGGCAGAGCGGAGGAGACAGGTCCTTTACTGGGGGCGGGGGGCCCCGGCCAGTCCAGCTGCCCGCGGGGCGCCCCCGGCTCAGCACTTGGAGTAGCGGCGCCGCACGGAGTCGCGGTAGAACTGGAAGATGGTGCCGGCGGCGCGCTGGGCCGCGGCCAGGCACTGCTGCATCTGCTCGGGGGCGAAGGGCTGGCCGTGAGGGACGCCCTGCGAGGGAGCCCCGTGGCCCAGACCCCGCCCGGCGCGTCCCTCACCTCCTCCACGGAGCAGCTGCCCTTGGTGGTGGCCGTCAGCACCTTCCTGTCGCTGCTGGCGATGGCGAAGGTGAGGACGGCGCGTGCCTCCTGCGGGGACAGGGGGTCAGCAGGGCCGGGAGGGCACGCCCAGAGCAGCCCCCTGCCCAGGCGGGGCTCACCTGCTCCTGGCGGGCCGTGGGGTCCAGCAGGATGGCGCCGTCGGGCTGCAGGGCGCAGGTGACCCCGCAGAAGAGGGCGGCCAGGGGCAGCCCCGCGTCCAGCAGCGCCATGCAGGCGGCGTTCAGGCAGCAGGACAGCAGCTGGCGGCGTCAAGGCACCCACGGCAGCAGCGGCGCCCGGCCCCCCGCCCCCCGGCCCCGCCCCACGGGGAAGGATACAGAGCCGGCGTCGCTGAGCACCTGCAGCACCAGGGAGACGGCGGTGCGCGGGTGCAGCGCGCCCAGCACGGCGGCCTCGCACGTCTGCCGCAGCAGCTGCTCCCGGCTGCGCTCCAGCACGCCTGCACAACGGCGCGCGGTCAGCCCCCGGAGCCCGCGGGGCTGCGGCAGGAGCCGCAGGCACGGCGCTCCCGCCTGCCCGGGGCTGGGCCAGCTCTGCCGCTCCCTGCGGGGCGCACGGGGACACGGCCGGGAGAGGGGAGGGGCTGGTTCTGCTCCAGCTGAGGGTTTGCCCCCAGCGAAACAGAAATGAAGGGCTGCACATGAACCACGTATCGCAGCTCTGGGGAAAGAGCCGGCTTTGGGACGGGGAGGGGATGGGCCCACCTGGCAGCCCCACCTTGGGGCGCAGCAGCACCTCCAGCGCCGCGCGGTCCGGCAGCTCCTTGCTGAGCTTGGCCTCGGCGGGGCCGTAGAGCCCGGCCAGCACCGAGGTGTCCCCTGGGCACGGAGAGCAGGGCTCACGGTCAGGGGGCCGGGAACGGCAGCCCCTGCACGCCGGGGGAAGGGTGGGAAGGAATGGGGAGCCGCGGGATGGGCTGGGAAGGAGAGTCTGGGGGGAAAGGCTGGGAAAAGGAGCCCCGGTAAGGAAAGAAGGGGAGCCCCGGACAGAGGAGCCCCGCAGACCCTGCGGGAAGGGAAGGGAAGGGAAGGGAAGGGAAGGGAAGGGAAGGGAGCCGCACAGACCCTGCAGGAAGGCGGCCGAGCCGTCGGGCCGCGAGAGCAGCCCCAGCTCGCAGGAGAAGGGCCGCAGCCGGCACTGCGCGTCCGCCGCCTCCGGCTCCACCGCCATTACCGCCGCCTCTCCGCTTCCGCCGCCGCTTCCGGGCCGCGCGGCAGCCAATCAGCGCCGGGCTTCCCGATAGCCAATCAGCGCCGGGCGTCGCGACAGCCAATCAGAGCTTGAAGAAATGCAAAACTGACAGGGAACATTCTTGAGGGGAGGAGGCTCGGGGAGAAATGGCATCTAATGAGAGGAGAAGTGAGGAAAGCTCTGGGAGAAGGGCAGGGGCAAAAGGAACAGCACAAGGAAATTACAAAATTACAAATCAAACAGTAATTACTAATAAAACAGAAACCACGCCAACAGTGACCCTTCCCTTTCACTGCTGACACACAGGACCTGCACACATGAGGGGCTGAGGGGCTCCGGGTGTGGATCCAGCTCGGGGCTGAGGGCAGTGCAAACCTCCCTGCACTCCCTCTGCTGCTGCACTGCTCCTCCGTGCCCTGGAGCCGCCTGGAAAAATCCCACCAAGAGCTCCCAGCCTCACCTTCTGCCCCTGCCAGCCCGCGCCTGCCCTTCCCCGCTCTCTGTAGCCAGGATATTTTATGAAAATCCTTTGCCAGGAGTTTTTTCCTATTCTAGCTAGAAGCCTCAGAAAAGAAATGTAAACAATTAACAATCTGATGGCTGTGGAATGTGCTCTGGACATTGTTTACCAGCAGGTGCACCTGGGATTGGTGCCTGTTGGTTGTTTCTAATTAATAACCAACCAAAGATGCAGCTGCATCAGACTCTGGGAGTCAGCAGCGTTTGTTACCATTCCTCTCCTGTCATTTCTAGCCTTCTGATGGATCCTTTCTCTCTCTGATCTTTTAGTACAGTTTTAGTGTAGCATTTTTATTATAATATATAATGTAATAAACCAGCCTTCTGAAACATGAAGTCAAGACTCTCCTCTCTTCCCTCGTCCTGGCACCCTCGAACACCACCACAGGTGTCAGTGCACATCCCAGCATCTGAGAGCTGCCCGTGAACCCGAGCAGAGGCTGCTTCCAGGGACATCTCTCTGGCCTTTGCCTTCTCCTGCCCTTCCAGGGCTCCTGGCCAATTCCCAGGCCCCTGCTGGGAAAGGCTGGGCCAGCTCAGCAGCCAGCACAGGAGCTGCCTGCGGGGCACATGGGCAGGTGGCACCCAGGGGCCGCCAGCACGGGAGGGCAATGCCAGGAGAAGGGAGAAACTGCTCCAGCTGGGCTGGGAACAGGGCAGGGAACAGCGCAGGGCAGTGGTTTTTAGTGATTTCTTATCTCTAAAATAGAGAGATGTCAGCAACAGGCTGTTCTGAAAGGGGATGGGAAGTTCTTCTGGCAAAACACAGCGATCTTTCTGTCACTTAGGATTCTCTTCCTCACAGCTTCCCACAGGATCTTTCATGGCCCGCAGGGCCAGCGGCGAGCACGATGGAACGCCCCCGGAGACGGGGGACACTGTGTCACGGAAACCGCCTTTATTTCCTCCTTGGTCTCCTCCTTCTGACCCTCAGAGGGCAACGCGATTTGCAGGCCCTCCTGCTCTGGCAGGCGGCGGGCCGGGGCGCGGAGGGGCCGGGAGCCGCCGCGTCCTCCTGCGGCCCGGCGCGGGCGCGGCGCTGGCTCGGCCTGCTCGGGCCGCCGGCGCCGCCAGGCCTCCCTGCAGCCGCGCACGGCGACGCGGACGAGGCCGTGGATCAGCGGCGCGGCGTAGTCGCCCAGGTAGCCGCGCAGCATGTGCGCGAGCTCGGCGCGGTCGGGGCCGCAGATGCACAGCGTGGCCAGCGCGATGGTCTCCACCTGCCGCGCCTCCCACCACTGCGCGCCGTAGATGGCGTCCAGGCCGCGCCGCAGCCAGGCCCGCGCGGGCTCCAGCAGCCGCTCGTGGCCCTGCAGCAGCTCTGCCCACAGCTCGGCCGGGAACTCCTCCTCGGCCGGCGGGCCCACGGGCTCCGCCGGGCACGGCGCGGTGCAGACCAGGCGGAAGCGGGCGCGGCGGGGCCAGGCGCGGGGCTCGGGCGGCGCTCCGGGCGGGCTCAGCAGGCACTGCAGGAAATCCTCGTGGTCCAGCACGGAGAAGCGGGCGCTGAACACGGGGCTGGCGCACAGCGGGCACGTGGCGCCGGCGGCCGCGTGGCGCAGCAGGCAGCCCAGGCAGAAGCGGTGGCCGCAGGGCACGGCGGCCGTGTCGCTCTGCAGGCTGTGGCACACCGGGCAGTTCCAGTCCGTCTGCGTGGCCTTGCTCACGCCCGGCGGGGCCGCGGGGACGTACAGGGACAGGAGGCTCCCCATTGCTGGGCCCGCAGCTGGACCTGGGGATCCTGAAGGTCTCTTCCAGCCGTGGCAGATCTGTGGTTCCGCAGCGCTTCCAGTGCATGTCACGCGCTGCAGGATGGAGAGAGGCCGTGGGCACTGGCTGTCCTGGGCATGCAGGGGAGGAAGAAAGGCTCCGGAGGACACCCTCCCTGCTCCCCCAGCCCCAGGCACCCTGTGAGCATTCCCACGGGCTCACCTCCAGTGCTGCAAGCGCCACGGTGCCGGCTGCCCACACCGGGCAGGGCTCGGGACATGGAGCTGCAGGACACACGGGGAGTTCCCAGTGCCAGCCCCAGCCCTCGGCCCCAGGACTCCCCAGGCCCCAGAGCCTCGCTTGGCAGCAGTCCAGGCCGGAGCCACGCTGGCCCTGCCAGGGCCCACGTACAATCAGGGAGGGATGCGACATCACAACACAGCCCCCAGCGGTGTCACAGTCAGACACTTGGTTTGTCACCCTCCACCAGCAGGTGACATCACAGCAGCACATTGGTCCCCACAGCATCAGATAAGAAGGAAAATACTACTTATTGTATTTAACTGTTGTGTTTCCATGCTGCTCTCAGCCACCTGCATCCGTGCCTGTGTGTCCTGTCCCTAACTCTGGCTGAGGTCCCCTGTGAGGGACAGCCCTGAGCCCACCCCCAGTCACAGCTTCACATGGAGACAGGGCTGGTGGCTCCATGGGGCTCCCCAAGGGCACCCAGAGCAGTTTCAGCTCTCTGATCACACCCAGAAGGCACAGGCACCCTTGCTGCTGGGAATGCTCCTAGTATGTCCCCACACTTGGATGGTCCACTGCAACAAATCCGTGTCCTGCTCCTGCTGGCCACACCATTCCTGATCCAGGCCAGGAGCCCCTGGTGGCCCTTCCTGGGCACCAGGGCACAGTGCTGCCAGCAGCCCCAGCTCCCCTCACCCGTGTCTGAAGCCCAGCTCTCCTCCTTCCCCCGCTGGTGGGTGGGGCAGTGCTGAGGA